AAATCTATTGTCTAAAAGAAATGCACAATGAAATAACTGTGTTCTCATGGTTCTAGGGCCATTAAATGATATTCTAATAAAACTTCAAAAATGTCCCATTGTATAATGGTATTGCGATGTTATTGTCGTTGTGGTTTTAAGACATTTAGATTCCAGACAATTACTTGAGTATAAGAAATTGTACTACAAGGTTCCATACCACAAAAGGAAGGTAGGGATTGATTCTGGGGCTATTGTCCTAACTGTTTAGGAATTAGGGACATTAAAAAAACATTTTTTTTTGTTTCAAGACAATAACTTGTGTATAGGTGCATGGTTCTCTACAAATGAACCACAAGGTTCCATAGTTCAAAAGGAGTTCAGAAGGTTGGGATTGAATTTGGGGGTTATGGCCCAAGCTGTTTAGGAATTATAGGCCAAAAAACAAACAAGGATTTTCTGGTCTCCAGACAATAACTTGAGTATTAGATCTCTATAAAATTGTTCTATAAGGTTCCAAGAAAAGAAGGTTGAGATTGATTTAAACTTGGTTTGATTTTAACAAAAATTGAATTCTTGTGTATATAGGGTTCTTTGATATGCTGAAGCAAGCAGTTTATTTAAATTTTGGATTTTGGGCCCTGTTATCAAATTTGTCCACATTGAGGTCCAAAGGGTCCAAAGTTAAACTTTTGTTTGATATTGTCATTCAAAAATTGAATTCTTGGTTTTTTTTTATATGCTGAATCTAACCATGTATTTATATTTTGAATATTGGACCATAATTGGTAAATGTCCAATTTCAAATGTTAAAGCTCTAAGACCACATTCATTCTGTGTCAGAAACCTATGCTGTGTCAAATATTTAATCACAATCCAAATTCAGACCTGAATCAAGCTTCAATGTTGTGTCCATACTTACCCCAATTGTTCAGGGTTTGCCCTCTGCAGTTGTATAAAGCTGCACCCACAGAGCATTTTATTATCTCATAAACTTTAATAGATAGGTATAAACTGTAAACAGTAAAAATGATCATCAACATAAGATCTTCAGAGATGCCACTAAATAAGACCTACAAATAGGCAAACACAACTTATTGCAATAAAGGAACAAAATAAATATCAAAATGACATATTTTTTACTAGGTGAGCGATTCAGGCTATTCAAATGACTTTTTTTTTTATTTTTTATTTTTTATTTTTGCCTATTCTCTTGAAAACTTTATTAGGTAGATAAAATTTAATTGCTAAAATGATCATCAGGACAAGATTAAACTATATTGTCAGTCAAATCTTACAGGAGTTATTGCCTTAATTAAAGATGGTTTTTGTCTCGCTTCAACAAAGTTGAGAAAGTGAACAAGCATGCTGTTTGTGTCAACAATGTATTAGTTTGTGATTAGGTCAGTTTGTTGGGAACCACTAGTGATAGGTCAATGATATTTGTTATGCAGTTGTATTAGCATTGACATATCTCATTTCCATGGAAATTATTTGACCCCATCCCCTCACTCATAGTCTATTAACTTTGAAGCTTTTGGTTAGTTTAAAGGTATTAGTTTGTGATTAGGTCAGTATATGGGGAACCTCTAGTGGTATATCGATGGTATTTGGTATGCAGTTTTATAAGCATTGGCACATCTCATTTCCATTGTGATTATTTGAACCTCCTCCAACACCCCTGGTAAGATCAGTTTAAGATAAACCACTTGTGTTGTATATGCATTAGCAAGTCTCATTTCCATGGAGATTAATATGTTTGCCCTGACATTATTATGATCATGATTCATTGACTGAATGTTTTGCATAGTTAACATGTATCAATATTGCCATTTTAGTTTCAGCATTTGCAATTACAATCAAAATTATAAAAAGAGAGACGTATTTCTGTGTCAACAGTTTATTCCCAATTTGTTTTTATCATTTTTGGAGGATAAAGAAAAACTATAGAGAAAAAATGGTCAACATAACCAGAGATTGTCAATGGACTCCTTATAGCAGTCCCATACATGAAAATGTTTCCATACTTAAAGATGCATGCACATAGACCTAGGTGAGCGAAACCAGCGGCTCTTTTCACAAAAAATCTTAAAGAGTAAAAATAATCGTAAGTCATACACATTTCAGTATAACTTACGATCAATTTAAATCGTAAAATTTTTTGTGAAAAGAGTCACAGCTCTTTAGAGCCTCTAGTTACATTTGACGTCCTTGACCCTGTCCTGAGAAAAATTTAAAATGATGTTTTTTGTACATATATAAGTATAAAGAATGAAAGTTATGAACTCTGTGTCATAATATATAGCCATATGAAAATGATGAATAAAAGGCTAGGATATACATATATACTTCATTAGACAGCAATCCAAAGTGAAAAATAACCCAAAAGACTTTTAGAGGTCAACATTTGTTACATGAATGGAATAGTTCCATTTTTGTCGAGCCTGCGACTTTTGTCGCAGAAAGCTCGACATAGGGATAGTGATCCGGCGGCGGCGGCGGCGTTAGCTCACTTCTTAAAAGCTTTATATTTTAGAAGGTGGAAGACCTGGATGCTTCATACTTTGTATATGGATGCCTCATGTTATGAAGTTTCCGTCAGTCACATGTCCAATGTCCTTGACCTCATTTTCATGGTTCAGTGACTACTTGAAAAAAAAGTTAAGATTTTTTGTAATGTTAAATTCTCTCTTATTATAAGTAATAGGATAACTATATTTGGTATGTGCGTATCTTGCAAGGTCCTCATGCCTGTCAGACAGTTTTCACTTGACCTCGACCTCATTTCATGGATCAGTGAACAAGGTTAAGTTTTGGTGGTCAAGTCCATATCTCAGATACTATAAGCAATAGGTCTAGTATATTCGGTGTATGGAAGGACTGTAAGGTGTACATGTCCAACTGGCAGGTGTCATCTGACCTTGACCTCATTTTCATGGTTCAGTGGTTATAGTTAAGTTTTTGTGTTTTGGTCTGTTTTTCTTATACTGTATGCAATAGGTCTACTATATTTGGTGTATGGAATGATTGTAAGGTGTACATGTCTAGCTGGCAGGTGTCACCTGACCATGACCTCATTTTCATGGTTCAGTGGTTATAGTTTAGTTTTTGTGTTTTGGTCCATTTTTCTTATACTTTATGCAATAGGTCTTCTATATTTGGTGTATGGAATGATTGTAAGGTGTACATGTCCAACTGGCAGGTGTCATCTGACTTTGACCTCATTTTCATGGTTCAGTGGTCAAAGTTAAGTTTTTGAGTTTTGGTCTTTTTTCTTATACTATATGCATTAAGTCAACTATATTTGGTGTATGGAAATATTCTATGATGTACATGTCAGTCTCACAGGTTTTATTTGACCGTGACCTCATTTTCACGGTTCATTGCTCAGTGTTAAGTTTATGTGTTTCAGTCTGTTTTTCTTAAACTATAAGCAATAGGTCAGCTATATTTGTTGTATGGAAGGATTGTAAGCTGTTAATGTCTGCCTGGCATGGTTCATCTGACCTTGACCTCATTTTCACGATTCATTGGTCAATGTTTAGTTTTCATGGTTAAGTCTGTTTCTTAGAAACTATAAGCAATAGGTCAGCTATATTTAGTGTATTGAATGATTGTAAGGTGTACGTGTATTTCTCGTTTGGTTTATATGACCTTGACTTCATTTTCTTGGATCATGTTAAGTTTATGTAATAGTTGTAGTAAAGCTTTCATTTAGGACTATCAACATAACATCAATAATTAGTAAAGAAGGCGAGACATTTCAGCGTGTGCACTCTTGTTAAATCAAGTGCCGGCCCTTTTCAAAACCTAGCTACAACGTTTAAAGTATCAACGAGAGACTCTTTAACCAAGTCACACCTACAACCCTTTCAATACTTGTAAAGGAGTGGCAAACAATTGCTTAGGAATAAAACATTTGCAAAGAAATCATTTGATATAGTAGTTTGCGTATGTGGATGTATGCTGTGTTGTGTCATCAATTTAGATTGGCTAGCTGACAGCATCCAATATATAGTGGTTTGATTTTTCTGTACATTTGCAAGACAAAAGGGTGTGAAGGTTGCCAAAAAGGATCACAGTCCAAATGAGAAAACATTTTTGGCTATAGTGGTAGATAGCCAATAGATAACTCGTACATTTTCACAGTTCAGGGGTACTACTTGTACAAGTAATCTTTATTTACTTGAAGAAGTAAATAAAATATACTTATATAAGTTAATTATAATGTTTGAATAATCTCCCCTTAATTTTCTCAAAAATTTACTTGTATAAGTAAATTTTTTTTACAATCCCACAAAAATTCTCAAGTTTTGAGATGTAAAATCATGCCTTTAACAATTTTTCTCAGGTTAGCTCATAATTTTTGATAAGAGTTCAATGTTTCATCTCATTAATTCAACAAAGAAACTGATTGCGCAAAGATCTTAAGTATTTGCACAAGGCCTTCAAAAATTGCTCCTTGGGGGCTTGTAAATGAGCAGTGTTCTGAAGATAACAGACAAATGAGACTTTCATTGTCCATGAAATTACACTTAAATGATAAGTAAAGACATCTGCAAAGGACAGACAATTAAAAATTCTATAATTAGAGCAAAGAAGTCCTAAGAATGCAAGAAAAGAAGATAGGATGACTTTTTTACTTGTATAAGTAAAAAAAGTCTGAATGTCTAAGGGACATAACTAATTATTTACCTATACAAGTAAATAAAATACACTTGTATAAGTATCCTACAAATTTACTTATATAAGTATATTAATATTTACTTCTTCAAGTAAATAAAAATTACTTGTACAAGTAGTACGCCTGACTAGGAAGAGTGACTGTCAAAACTCATGTTTGATTTTAATACACTGGTTCAACTTTCAAATGTCAACATGAAGTTTTATCATTGCATGCTATTTATAAAATGGAGACAAAAGAAATCTAGAGGTCAACAAAACAGTCTTCAACACTTATCTATTGATCAAGTTAATCATAATGAAAAAGAAATCTAATACATGTGTATTGTATTTTGCAGAATATCACAATTTTTGGAACAGCTTCAAGAATCTGCACCATGAAGTAACACCAAGGTATTTAAATGGTGAGTCAAATGTCCATGTATATCATGTATATTGCATATGAAATAAAGTATACAATGCTATTGTAACAATCTTAAAATTCAAAGAAGTTTGGGGAATTATAAACTAATCACTGTGTCCGTTTATTAGCATGTTTAGACTGGTTTTCTTTCTTTTTACAGAGCAATGTTTAGATTCAATTTATAACTTACCCAGCACAATTGTTGCTTAATCCCCAGGGTATGCTATGACTACGGTAATTCAGAAATTATTGTGTACGTTTATTATTGGGATATTTGCAGAATGGACAAAAATGTGAGATTGATTATTCAAATATTGCGATTTTGGAAAAAGCTGCATACAGATATATGTTTCAGATATATACAATGCATGTTCTTATTATTGCAATACTCACCCAGTCACATTATTCACATAGATAAAAACCTTGCAATAATTTCCGAATTTACAGTATTATCAAGTTTGTATATTACAGTAGACTCCACTCAATTGCACATGATTGCATATCGGCTAAACGAATATATCAGCTATTGTAATATTATTTCTAAACACTAAACCCTTTCCTAAATATTTAATGTAAATTTTATCGTGTAATCTAATATTGGATATAAGAATATATTGGCAAATCAGATAGTATTTATGAAAATTTTGTAAAACCCATGCACAATGGGATATTTTCAATGTTAGATGATTCCCGTCTCCAAAAGTATTGAATGGTTATGATTTCCTTTGCTTTGCTAAGAAGAATTGATATTTTATGACATTTCTGCTGACATCTATTACATCACGTTACTTCAAGATTTTCTCTTTCTTTGTTCTTTTCGTTGATAAATTCTTGCATATATCTACTTATATTGCAGGTCTCTTCAAGGGGTAATTACAATGTAATGTACCAATGTTTTTGTGGAAAAAGGTTAACCACATTATTAAGTGTTCAACAAAGTACAAAGGAGTATGTTCATGAAGGGTCCATATTGGCCCTAAAATTCTGTGCAATTTAATTTTGATAAAAAAAAAATTTTACATTTAATTACAAAATATATGACATGTAGGACAAACACTCCATGACAATTACAATTCATCAAGTTTTGACGCATAAAAACAATTATGACGTCATCTTGACATCATGATTGTGCGCTCTAATAAGGAAAATCGTAATTGGTCCGAGGACACAGTTATCGTCATTAGATTTTCGTTGTCTACAAATGTAGTCCTAGTGTGGACAGTGTATAACTTGCAAATTTTTTTCATACACTTTCCAAATTTATTTCTTTATATTTTATGCATGAAATATTAAGTAAAGGGATGAAATTACATGTTAAAAAAGTTTGGGTGCTGAATCTTTATGTTAAGTAGTGATTTGGTCCAGTTCAAAAAGGTCAAAAATTAGTATGTCTGAAGCTGTCAAACTGAATTTTAGACCCCCTTAACATAGAATTGTCAATTTTTGAGTTAGAGCTGGTAGACTTTTCTATAATTTTGATATTATTTGTCCCAATAGTAGTACACTACACTGTAAAAATCTTTTTGAGATAGAGCAGGTGCGATTTTTTTTTAATTTGAATTTATTGTCTAAAAGAAATGCACTAGGAAATATAAACTGTGTTCTAGGGCCAATTGTGACTTAATTTTTTGCATTGATATTAATACATTGTAGTTTTGCTTCAAATGACATTGTCCACATACAAGGACCACCATAGTTTTTTGTTATGATGTGCATCTGACCTGTATACATTTTTTTCTTGTAACTTTATTTTGGAAATATACCTTAAAAATGCATAAAACTGGCAATTTGACTAAAAACTAGTAAAATATCATACTTTTACTGCTGTCAACATAGTTTTAAAAACAAACAGCAGACAACAAAACTGTCTTGTTTATAAAAATTTGCATATACATGTATAAAGATCGTAAATATGGGTTTTTGTCGAGCCTGCGACTTTTGGTGCAGAAAGTTCGACATAAGGATAGTTATCCAGCAGCAGCTGCGTTAGATAACTTCTTAAATGCGTTATGTTTTCCAAGGTTGAAGACCTGGATGCTTCATACTTTGTACATAGATGCCTTATGTTATGAAGTTTCCGTCTGTCATATGTCCATTGTCCTTGACCTCATTTTCATGGTTCAGTGACTACTTAAAAAAAAAGTTCAGAATTTTGTAATGTTAATTTCTCTCTTATTCTGGGAAATAGGATAGGTGTATTTAATATGTGCGTACCTTGCAAGGTCCTCATGCCCGTCAGACAGTTTTCATCTGACCTCACCTCATTTCATGGATCAGTGAACAAGGTTAAGTTTTTGGTGGTCAAGTCCATATATCAGATACTACAAGCAATAGGTCTTCTATATTTGGTGTATGGAATGATTGTAAAGTGTACATGTCCAACTGGCATGTGTCATGTGACCTTGACCTCATTTTCATAGTTCAGTGGTTAAAGTTAAGTTTTTGTGTTTTGGTCTTTTTTTCTAATACTATATGCTATAGGTCAACTATATTTGGTGTATGGAAATATTTTACAATATACATTTCAGTCTGGCAGGTTTGATTTGACCTTGACCTCATTTTCACGGTTCATTGCTCAGTGTTTAGTTTTTGTGTTTTTGTCTGTTTTTCTTAAACTATAACCAAAAGGTGAACTATAGTTGTTGTATGGAATCATTGTAAGGTGTATATGTCTATCTGGCAGGTATCATCTGACCTTGACCTCATTTTTATGGTTCATTGTTCAATGTTAAGTTTTCATGGTTAAGTTTGTTTCTTAGATACTATAAGCAATAGGTCAACTATATTTAATGCATAGGTTGATTGTAAGGTGTACATGTCTGTCTGGCATGGTTCATCTGACCTTGACCTTATTTTCATGGTTCATTGGTCAATGTTTAGTTTTTTTGTTTAAGTCTTTTTCTTAGAAACTATAAGCAATAGGTCAACTTTATTTGGTGTATTGAATGATCATGATGATTGTAAGGTGTATATGTATTTCCGGTTTAGTTTATCTGACCTTGACCTCATTGTCTTGCATCATGTTAAGTTTATGTGATACTTTTAGTAAAGATTTATATTTAGGACTATCAAAATAAAATCAATGAACAGTAAAGAAGGTGAGACATTTCAGCATGTGCACTCTTGTTACATATGATATTACAAAGAGAGATTTTTAGGGCAACTTTAACATGTTAAAGACCCTCTTGGCTATACTCCCTTTCTATAGGTATATTGTCTTTTGAACTTGTATGAACTATATAAAAAGAATAGGATGTGGTATGATTGCCAATGAGATATTAAACTATTCAGCAGATACCAAATGATGTAGATGTGTGCATCTAAAGGTCACTGTAAGGCCTTCAACAATGAGCAAAACCCATATCAAATATTAAACTATAAAAAGCCCAGACATAAAAAATGTCAAACAAGAATGATGTACAAAATAATAAACAAAAAACTAATATGATAGACAACATCATATCATCAACAACCACTGAATTACAGGCTCCTGACTTGTGACAGGCACATACAAAATGTGGTTGAGTTAAAAAAGTTTTTGAGTGCCCAACTGTCCCCCTTACCTGGGACAGTGGTGTAACAACATAACATAAGAACTAACTGTAAAATCAGTTGAAAAGGGATTAACTCATCGGATCAATACAAAGCACAAGGTAACAATCTAAGAATATTCACAGTTACTGAAAGCTTGTTCAAAACTAATTACAACAAATAATTATTATACCCCTGCTTTAAAATAGTGGGGGTATACTGTTTTACCTCTGTCTGTCTGTCCATCCGTCAGTCCATCCGTCCCATGAATATTTTTCGTAGCATCTTTCTCAGGAACTACATTACAAGGATTTCAGTAATTTTGTTTCAGAGTTTATATGAGTCAGCTATACCGTGTTTTCAGATTCATGACTCAACAACTTCCTGTTTATCTTATATTTTTAGCGGGGCAGGGGTATCATAAGTGAGCAGTAGCTCACAGATTCACTTGTTTAATCATGTTTCCCAGAATAAAATCTATCAGCAAACATCAAATGGATTAAGTTTAAAGATGTCATAAACAGTCTTGGAAAAACATGACCAAATATAAATATCTACAGGATGTAGGACCATAAATGTTCATAACTGTATAGCAATATATATATATACAAGTCTAAATTGAAAACAACGTTCAAACCTATGATTGCGTTGGATAAAATTCGCAATATATATATATATATAGTTATGTTTATATATTATTGTGTAAAATAATAAACAAATTCATTTGTTTTCAGATCAATGAAATCCATATTGAGAGACATTTAAACATCTTGTGTAACATTGCTATGAAGGAGAACTGAAGATGAGGTTACATTCATCACTAGTGTTAATGCAACCAGATATTCTCACTGGAATTGTAATGAAAAGCAAATTTCAATTTAAGATGTGAAATCCAGTATTTAATTTTCATGATCTTGAAATCCACAAACTTATATCCATATGATATTTTGAAATCCACATGATATAAGAATTTTATATACAAGTGAAATCCAGATTTAAATGCAGGTTACATAATAAAATGGCAGAATTTCCTGTTACTCAAGATGTTATTCAGGAGAATGTTCCTTACGACGATTCTATATTTTTGCCTGAAGGAAGTCATGTAATATCAGATGATTCACTACCAGTTGTCATCTTGGCGGAGGATACTGGTCTAATTCAAGGGAGAGAAATCCTACAACAACATACTCATACAATGTCATCAGATGATTTACGTAAGCCTCAAATAAATATAATAGACTTGAACCTAATTTCACACTCTGAAGACAATCAGTTAACTTCAAATCAATTAAACTTTGATGGTCTACTGCCAAATCAGGTTGAAGAAAGTCAGATCCCTATTGCAATTCAGTCGACAGTGTCTGGCAAAATCCTTAAACAGAGCAGTGATAGTCAAAAGTTAGTGTCTTACACAATCTTTTGTCCAAACGAAGAAGCAATATTTACAGCTGAACCATGCGAGGAAGACACTGTCAGACAGGGAAACAGACCAACAAATAAAAACCTGACAAAAATGAAGGGTAACACTGATGTTAATGAGGCAGTAGGCTCCGCTAATTATACACAATTACTAAATAATGTTAACGAGCACTTACTGTCAACAAATTCTTTAGCAGATGGCAATGGACAGAAGCCTAGCACAATAAAAAATACTGTTTTCAATGGTTTGAAAAGCAAACCTACTGGCATGGGAGCTGTTTTTAAAAGTAAAAAAACAAGCAATCTCTTTGAAAATTTAGAACAATTTGCTAGAGAGGGTGAGAAAGAAATGTCTGTGCCTTCAGCCTCCAATGGAGATGGTGTTTCTACTGATAATGATAGTGAAAGGGATTTTGAAGCTACACTTAAGAGTAGGTGTTTAAGGTCGAAACTTTCGGTAAAATTAGTTCCCTTAGATATGAGCAAAATATCTGTTGATAAGAAACTAAAAGTTGATAGCTTTAAAAACATTAAAAAGCAACAGAAAATAAAATCAACAGATATTAAGAAAGTTCCCTTGATAAAGAATATAAAGGAAAAATCGATAGATGTAAACAAAGTTTCTAAATTGAAAAACGGCATTATAGCAGAACAGTATACATTTATTCGCGGAAAGAAAAAGAAGAAAAAACCAAGTTTAGGATTGCTGAGAGAAATTGACAAAAAACCAGCCAAACGCTTTGGTAAAATTCCAAAATCAATGACCGCATGGAAAAAAATTGAAACAATTGAGAAGACTGGTAAAAAACCAAAAATACAAGGCCGTAAAGGAATAGAGGGAGAGTTTCCATGTAATCTTTGTGATTACGTTGCAAAAATAAAAACTCATCTTCAAGTTCATAGGGCAGTTCATATACCCAAATGGAGAAAATGCAATTTTTGTAAATTTGAGTCAAGGTCAGAGTTTAAGATGATGGAACATGAAGCCAGACATACAGGAGAAAAACCCTTCAAATGTAAGGTTGAAGGGTGTGATTATGCTGGAGCATGCAAAGGAGATCTAACTAAGCACCAAAGAAAACATCAAGAGGACAAACCATTCAAATGCCCACAGGCTGGATGCAGCTTTGGCACAAAATGGCCTCGTAATCTAAAACATCATTTAACTACACACTCGGACGAGCGTCCTCACAAATGTAAACAGTGTGGTTATGCCTTCAAAAGACCTAGTGATCTTAGCTATCACATGTATCGTCATAACGATGTGAAACCAATCAAGTGCGAAAAATGTGAATTTAGATGCAAAACCAATTTTGAGATTAAATGTCACATGTTGAAGCACAGTGATGTCAGATACTTCAAATGTACACACCCTGGCTGTACACAGGAGACCAAAACTAAATCAGATCTTACCAAACATATGAAAGTTCATTGTAAAACATTAGATTTTGTATGCGACTTATGTGGAAAAGGATTTAAAACCAAAAGTTGCTTAAAAAAACATATTTTACGCCATTCTGATGAACGACCATGGAAGTGTGACCTCTGTGATAGACGATTTAAAATAAAGCCAGCTTTGAGGAATCATATTAATATGCATGCTGGGTACAAACCCCACTCATGTGATGTTTGTGGTATGCTTTTTGCAAGCTTAGGCAATAAGAAAACTCACATGGTTGTCCACACAACTAAAGACCGACCCCTTAAGTGTCCGATTTGTCCCTATTTAGGTAAAACACAGGAGCATATATTAGCACATATTGGAACAATGCACGGGAGTAAATATGCTTACTTTTGTGAAATCTGTAAAAAGCCGTTCAAACGTTATCACTTACTACAAGTTCATTATCCAAGATGTCATACCAAGGAAGAACTAGAGATGTTGGAAAGTGCCCTTCAGTTGAACATGCAGGCAATTAAATCAGAAGTGATTGATGAAATCACCAAGACTGAGCTTGCAAAAACAAATTCTGAATTGAATTGGGATTGTGTCTTTGTCAAGGATGAAAGATGTGATTTTGAGGCATATGGTGTAACTGAAGACCAAAATGTAAATACTGATGAAGATACAACTACTAAAACATCTGAAAACCAAAATCTTAATGGGACTTATCAAGACCATAATGATGAAAACACTGTTCGTTCAGAAGTTGACACAACTCAGAATGAGCACCAAAAGACATCTGATAAACTAAAAGATACTGATGAAGGCAATAAACCAGATGTTAAGCCAGCAAAATTGGAGCGCACAGAAAATTCTTATAACTCTACAAAACCAGCTACTCTTGCCATCTATGATGAATTTAGACTTCCATTAGCAACAGTTGGATTTCATTTTAATTTTATAAAAAAGGGAAAGAAAACAAAAGCTTGGTTCATGGACCAAAGTTATATGGATGAAACTGCCAAAAAGAGACATCAAAAGTACCTAAACAGGAAGAGAGAAGAGATGCTTTATGGGTATTACAACTCAAAACGTAGGCGTAAAATTCAAGGGAAACTTACAACAGTTTATGAATCACCAGAAAAAACTAAACGACAGTTTGCAGGTGGAAAATTCTTCCCTAAGAATAAAACAAAAAATGCAATAGAACCTTTGATAAAATTAGATTCATCAAGTAAAACAATGCCAAAAATTGTAATTAAATCAAGTTCAAGTGAATCAAAAAGGTTAGAGGCTAAAAAATTGTTGGATATCAGCATTAAGAAGTCAACTATGTCCCGGTCACATGATCTAAAAGCACATAAAAAACCAAAAACTACAATATTAGGGCACATTAAAACTGAACCAGTGAAAAAAGAAAATGCTAAAAAGCCATCGCTGAAAACTACTATTGACAGTAAAAAACATAAGAAATTGAAAATTATGAAAACAAAGAAGTTAAAGAAGGTTGTTAAAGAACAGTATATGAAACCCAAAGAAAAACTGTCAATAAAACCAAAGGGAAAACCAGGCAGGAAGCCTAAGGTGGTAGAAATTTTGAAAAAAGATACTGATAAGATTATAAAGCCAACAGGAAAGCCTGGAAGAAAACCCAAAATTACTAGTAAAATGGCTGAATTCAGAGATAGTAAAATGAAAACATATGAAAATAGAATGAACAAAAATATCAAAACTGGAAAGCCTCCAGCAATCCAGTCCACAATAATTAAAAACAAACCAGGCAGAAAGCCCAAAGGTAATGTGGTTGCAGAGAAGAAAACTAAAGTTAACAAGAGTTCTTTGAAAAAGACAGGCAAGAAACCTGGACGAAAACCTAAAGAACATGTGAAATTACCAAAGATACAAAAACCAAAGGGCAAACCAGGACCTAAACCAAAGTACAAAGTTCCAATTATGGAAAGTAAAATCAACAAATCGAAAGGAAAACGTGGCAGAAAACCTAAGGCTTTACAAGCAGATAGTACAATGCTGACTGAAATAAAACAGGAAGCAGTGGACGATTTTGAGCAGATGACTACGTCCCTTGATAATTTGATTGGTTGGCAAGATGATATGAATACCAGTAGCTTCAATGATACAAACGATGGAGAATGTGAGGGAGATGTTGTCCAGTCATATAATATAACTGTTTGTCAAGACTTTAATCAGTCACATGACGCTGATTTGTCAAGTAGTGCAACACTATCTGATAGAATTAAAACAAATAGAAGAAGAGTACGAAATTACAAGACATCAGACGATAATGAAAACGCAGCACAGAAATGGTTAGCATCAGATAGTACCACAAAAACTATTCAGCTGCCATCAGAATTGTCTACACAGGTGTCAGAAGTATCAGATAAAATTACTGAAGTTACAGATAGACCAATCATATATAAATTTATTGGTAAGCGGGCTAATGAACCCGAAACAACAAGAACGATTAATGAATCTACCAGCAACAGTCCTGAAAGTAATTTGACTCCAATACCAAAAGCAGAACTTTATGCTAAAATAAGATCTTGTATTGCTTCAAAAAATGTAACTGCGAAAGAATCTCACAGAAGAATTACTGCTAAAAATATCCCGTTGGAAAGATTAGCTGTAGACACATCAACCGGAGGGATTGTGACTTCTAATGCTTTCAATTCTCAGCTCATACCTCTGCAAACATTCACATCTGAAACTCTAAAAGGGACTACTCTCATAAAGGAACGAGATATCCAACCAACTCAGAAACTGGTGTCAGCTCAAACATTAAGCTCTAATACATTGAAAAGGATGAATATACTGTATAACTCAAAGAAAAATAAAAGAAATGAACTTGATATTCCTCAAGTTGTGATAGAAAATGCAGAAGAAATGAATAGTCATACCTGTAATGAAGAATACCTTTCATCGTTACAAGATTCAGAAAATTATGATGTACAAGAGCAAGATACTCAAGTTTTTGTTAAGGAGGAAATGATTATTGACTTAGATGATGAAAATGACAGGGGGGAGGATTATCATTCTGAGGATAACATTGAAGATCACACTTGTGTGGAAGATTATGCAGAGAATGGTATTGCAGGAGAACACCAGCCTGTTGAAATGGACAGAATCATTGAAAGTAATGCCACTAATGGTAATTTGTTTGTTCCGTATTGTGACGATGTAGCTGTCATGCAAGCTTCAGCTGAGGTTCTTCAAGATGTTGGAGGAAATGAACAATTGAATGAACCGTCTGATATAAATCAGTTAGGATTTGTTATTGAAACTGTACAAGATTCTGCTCTAGATGTAGAAGAGAGTCAGGATGGTAATGTGGTTGTTCAGATGCTTGAACCAGCTGTGGAAAATGGCATGATATCCAAGCTTACAGACGATACTGATCAGACATTTCCCGATAGCGACATAGATATAAATAGTTCACCGATTAAGCAAGAACCTATAGATAAAGATTCTTTTTCATGAACTGGATTTTATTTAGTACTGTCTACAGAAATATGACAGAATTATTGTTCAGATGGTATATTGTTTGTTTGTTTTTTTTGTTTTTTTTTTGTTGTTTTTTGTTGTTTGTTTATTTTTTTGCTTTGTTCTATTTTAGTGTTTATTGTGTTTGTTATATTCAATTTTTTTTTCTATGGTAATGAAATATATATGCACTGACTTTATATACAGTCTTTACAATATTGATATTCAAACAATATGTATGTACTATGTAAGATATATCAATTTTTTCTAAAAAAAAATTCTGATTTTTTTATCGAATTTTTGTTAAAAAGTTCATTCATAAACAGGCATAGAACTCTTTGTATATCAACTTACTTTATAGACTACAGACATAAAGTAAGATATAAGTAAAAGATGAATTATATATGAAGTGTAAAAAATGGTTTAAAATTTATACCTTTGTATACTTTTAAATTTCAAATTTTATGTTAAAATATTTCATGAAGTAGATTATTTTTTTCAAATTGTAGTTTGTCATAAATGAAATATAGTCCTTTATTATTTTTACATATATTTCATTTCTCAAATTTCAGTATGTTCTAGTTAAGCGTTAAAGATTAGATGGTTTTTTTTTAAATAATGATTTTTATGGTATATAAAGGGAAAATCAGAAATCAGAAATTTGAAGCTTCTTTTTAACAAGATTGAGTTTTTTATAAATGAAAAGATATTTGATGTGTACAGTATGTGTTATAGTTATGTGTTTTTTTTTCCTTTCTGTTTTTAAAATTGTAAATGAAAACATTACAATTTCTTACTGTTTATAACAAAATTATGTAATGTAATAGATAAAGACTCGTTTATATAGTGGTATGTGTATAGCTTTTTATCATTTATCCTTTTAAATACATTTCAACAAATTTTATATTTATCAATGTTTATGATTACTGGTATATGGTATTTGTTTGTGAGAGCTTTTTTATGACTTTTTGTCAGATATTTTGAATCCATTAGTTTTATTCATGTAAGTGTCAATAACAAATTTGCCCAATAACCCCTACTTTTCTTTTCATAATTTTATTATGAATATTTTATAAAGCTATTTTTGACTGCAATCTCTAATTTTCACAGTGATTGCAGTTAAGAAATAAAAATTTTGATGCAAAATCTGCTATCGGGTTAGACTTTTTATGGACTACAAGTAGAGAGTAAAACACTTTTAGTCAGATGACAGAATATATGATATTTAACCACTGTTAATTATACATATACAAAAAAACTGGTTTAAAACTTACTTTGTTTATTGTTAATATGGGTCTTGTCATCCTTGCTCCTTTGTTTATTGTTAATATGGGTCTTGTCATCCTTGCTCCTTACCAGTTTTTGTGATACAAATACATTATACATATATAGATGTCACAAACTTTCACCTGAATAGTACAGGGGATATTATTTTGAATTCATTGTAGAATTTCATTTATTTTGACATTTGAAGATATAATATTTATTTTGTTGTATGTTATGTATGTATTTATATATAATATTCATATTAAATATATATATGAATTCCATTAGTAATATGTAATTTGTTTGTTACTGTATCTTTACAATAGAGTTAAGTTTTTGTTGCTTTTATTTTTTATGAAGTCTATTTTTATTTGTGAAATCCTTTGTTTTGAGCTGTTGAGCATTTAATTGAAATCCATTTAAGTTGTTAGAAAGGTTTGCTTTCTTCAATTTTAGACTCAATTCAATTTTGAATTTTCAAAATAGTGAATTTTTCCTGTAACAGTATTAACTTTTGAAATCATTGTAAACTTTTCATCTCTGTTGACATTTAAATATAATATTAATGTTGCTATATATGAATGAATAACATTATTAAGATGCAATTTTTGCTTGTCATTGTATCTGTGCTATAGAGTTAAACTTTTTTTTCTTTTATTTTCAATGAAGTCTATTTTTATTTTTGAAATCCTTCGTTTTAAGCTGTTGAGCATATAATTGAAATCCATTTAAATTGTTAGAAAGGTTTGTTTTCTTCAATTTTACACTCAATTCAATTTTGAATTTGCAAAATAGTGAATGTTTCTTGTAAAAGTATTAGCTTTTAATTTCTGTTGACATTTAAATATAATATAAATGTTGCTATATATAAATGAATACCATTATTAAGATGTAATTTTTGTTTGTCATTGTATCTGTGCTATAGAGTTAAGCTTTTTTTTATTTTATTTTCAATGAAGTCAATTTTAATTTTGAAATCCTTCGTTTTAAGCTATTAAGAGCATTTAATTGAAATCCATTTGAGTTTGTAAGAAAGTTTTTTTTTCTTTAAATTTTCACTTAATTCAAACTTGAATTTTCAAAATAGTTATTGCCTTTTAATTCACCAAGCCAATTTATTGCTATATTGCTAATTGATTTTTGTCATATATGTGTTCTTAACTTGATAGTATTTTATGAATTTGTTACTATTTTTGCTTTGGTTAACTGGAATGTTCAGGTGTGAGTTCATATGGGATTTTCCCCACAAATTTCCAGCAATGTAATTATATTTTATTCAGATATTTCTGTTGCCATTGTGCAGTGAACTGACTTTGCTGGTTTTATGTTCTTTATTAAGCATACATTGTATATTGTCAAATAAACGAAACAACAGTTTTCAGTGATGATTTGGTTTATATAATATATAGTTCTATTCTGGTTCTCTCTATAACAAGTTTTAACAAAGGTAAACTATGTTATTTTCTTTCTGTTCAATGTTTGAGGTTTTTTTAATTTCTCCCCAATTTGTAAAACACAGTTAATATCTTCAATATTTCTGCAATCGCAAAATTCTTATGGCTTACGTAGGGACATAACTTTTAAATATCAATGATGAAAAAAAATGTAAAATAGATTCATAAAAGATTTTAATTTGGATCATTACTTTTCTGACTCAATGAGAATATATATTTTTATACGACGGCAAAAAAATTTTGTGGTCATATATTGGTATCACGTTGTCGTCATCGTCGTCATTGTTGTCCGAAGATGGTTGGTTTCCGGACAATAACTTTAGTATAAGTAAATAGATATCTATGAAATTTAAACACAAGTTTCCATACAATAAAAGGATGTTAGGATTGACTTTAGGGGGTTATGACTCAAACCATTTAGGAATTAGGGGCAAAAAAAGGGGAAAAACAAGGGTTTGCTGGTTAATGGACAATTTTAAAGCAGTGTAAGGGAGGTAATCCAATCACACTTAATATACAATGTTGTGTATGTTTTGGATTACCTCCCTTACACTGCTTGTAAATTATGTATAAGAAATGCTGTATTGTCTTGAGGTGATTAGCTGTCAATTAATTTTTAAATGCTACAGTAATTAATATTAATTTTAGCCTTGAATATGTATGTCATTTTCTATTTTAAGACTTTTATGATGTATTTTAATGGGTAATTATGGTTGCAAACTCCATTAGAAATTTGAATTGAGATAATGATCATATCTTGAGGGAAAGAATTTTTTTTTGGGAAAAAGGGAAAGGGGGGAATTGAAATACAAAATTGTGGGGGGATGGATGAGGGGAAATATGAAATTGAAGGGGGAACAATTTTTTCTCATTTCAGATTTCAGATTTCAGAAATTAAAAAGAAAATTTCTTCAAATTCAAATCATATTACCAATTCTAAGTTCTTTGACTACAGTTATTCTGTGTCAGAAACCTATTTTGTGTCAGATATTTAATTACAATCCAAATTCAGACCTGTATCAAGCGCGAATATTGTGTCCATTTTTGCCCCAACTGTTCAGGGTTGGACCTCTGCAGTCGTATCCAGCTGTGCTCAGCGAAGCAATTTATTATGTATGAATCATCAGCTAATTTGTGGTCATTAATAGTTTAAAACAGCCATACAAGGCTTTCTTCTCGTCTTGATGGAGTCAAAAAGCGAGGTCAGTTTGAGTTTAAGCTGAACCACTTATGATAAGACAATGATATTCAGTATGGAGTTGTATTAGCATGTGCACATCTCATTTCCATAGAAATTGTGTGTACCACCCCTCAGTTATGATCTATTGACTTCAAACAAGAGCATAGTTAAAATGTTCCGAGTTTGTGATTAGGTCAGTTTATGGGGAACTACTAATGGTAAGTCTAAGATATTTGGTATGCAGTAGCATTTATATAAGCATCGGCACATCTAATTCATGGGGATAATTTGTCCCACCCCTTCAGTCATGGTCTATTGACTTTGAACTCTTGCATAGTTTTCATGTAAAAATATTGCTGTTTTAATTTAAACATTTGCATTTTACTATCAAAATTATAAACATGTGAGACATATCTCTCTGTCAACAGTTTATTCCTAGTTATGTTCATTGTTTTTTGGAATAGCCATATTTTTTATTTTAGCATTGCTGAGGATTAAAAATGTTCTTTTGAACTCGAGTTCTGACAATTTTTTTTAACCAAAGCAATGCAATTTGCTTCTAATGATTTTAAAGATTATCGTTAAAATGAAACTGTTATTTTAGTGAAGATTGTCTATGATTTAGTTTTTGAATATATAAATGTACCGCTGTAACTAGAACTTTCTGGTTATATGATTCATATATTGAAGAAATGTTTTGTATGAATTTGTATATGTGAATACAGACACCAGTACCTTGAACAATTGACGTTTTTCATATGTTAGAAATATTTTTCGTTTTTATACGACCGCAAAAAATTTTTGTGGTCGTATATTGGTATGACGTTGGCGTCATCGTCCGAAGACATTGGTTTTTGCACAATAACTTTAGTTTAAGTGAATGGATCTCTATGAAATTTTACCATAAGATTGATAACCACAAAAGGAAGGTTGGGATTGATTTTAGGGGTTATGGTACCAACAGTAATGGAATTAGGGGCCAAAAAGGGGCAAAACATAAGCATTTTTGTAACTTCCAGACATCTCTCTGACATTGTACCACAAGGTTCCATATCACAAAGGGAATGTTGGGATTTTTTTGGGGGTAATTGCCTTAAAATTTTAGGAATAAGGGGCAAAAAACAAGCATTTTTCTAGTTTAATAACTTGTGTGTAAGTGTATGGATATTTCTGAAATTGTACTACAAGGTTCCATATCACAAAGGGAAAGCTGGAATTGCGTTTGGGGGTAATTGCCCAAAACGTTTGGATAAAGGGGCCAAAAATAACATATTTCTAGTTTCCAGACAATAACTTGTGTTCAAGTCTATGGATCTCTCTGAAATTGTACTGCAAGGTACTATACCACAAAGGGAAGGTTGGGATTGATTTTGGGGGTAATTGACTCAAAATTTTAGGAATTAGAGGCCAAAAAGGTGCAAAAAAACAAGCATTTTTCTAGTTTCAGGAGTGTGTAAGTGTATGGATCTTTATGAAATTTTTTTATGATCAATTTTTCGTGGTCAAGACTGTATCTCAGATACTGTAAGCAATAGGTCAACTATAGTTGGTGTATGGATTGATAGTAAGATGTAGATGTCTGTCTTCATTTTTAATGGTCATTGTTCAGTTTCATAATTATAAAATTGAAAATGGAAATGGGGAATGTGTCAAATAGACAACAACCCGACCAAAGAGCAGAAAACAGCCGAAGGCCACCAATGGGTCTTCAACACATCAAGAAAATCCCGCACCCGGTGGCGTGCTACAGCTGGCCCTAAACAAAAATATGTACTAGTTCAGTAATAATGGACGTCATGCTAAACTCCGTAATATATAAAAGAAACTAAAATTAAAAATCATACAAGACTTACAAAGGCCAGAGGCTCCAGACTTGGGACAGGCGCAAAAATGCGGCGGGGTTAAACATGTTTTTTGAGATCTCAACCCTCCCCCTATACATCTAGCCAATGTAGAAAAAACAAACCCACAGCAAGGATTTGTATAGTAAGACTATACAAATACTTGCCCACAGCAATACGCACGGTAAAACTCAGTTTAAAAGAAGACCGAGTCCGATGTCAGAATAGGTAACAAAAGAAATTAAACAAAATGACAATGATACATAAATTAACAAAGGACTACTAGCAGTTACTGACATGCCAGCTCTAGACCTCAATTAAACTGATTGAAAGATTATGTCTTCATCATATGAATATCAAGCACAATCCCTCCCGTTAGGGGTTTAGTATCATACCATCATAAAATATATGAGAAGAACATAACCCGTATCATGCCAACAACTGGGTTTAGAATAAATGTGTTTCCGATTTTCCGCACCTTTTTTTGTCATTCTTGAAGATATTGATTTTATAATTGGTATATACAGAGACATATAATACATACTTATGAGTATAAGAATGACTATATCAGAGACATATAATACAATGTATTATATGTCTCTAGTATATAGTTTTATCATGACGGGTTACAGTTCGGGTTTTAATTTTGTTCGGGTCTGATGATTTTGTGCAGAGTTATCATGGTCCTTGGACTTAGAAAATTCACTCAAATAATCAGTTTTCAACACTTTTTTTCGTCATGCTTGAAGATATTGATTTGAAAGTTGGTATTTAGTATCATCATGACATGTAACAGATCAAGTTCGAATTTTGTTCCGGTCTGATGATTTTGTGCAGAGTTATGGTTCTTTGACTTAAAGAATTCACTTAAATAATCAGTTTTCAGACTTTAAATTTCAGTGTTTGACTGTCCCTCTGGTATCTTTCGTCCCTCTTTTTCAACACTGTTTTTCGTCATGCTTGAAGATATTGACTTGATATTTGTTATATAGTTTACACCATGACAAGTTATAGATCAAGTTAGAATTTTGTTCCAATACAATGAATTTTTAACCGGTAGGGGACTATTTATTGCCATGCAATACTCACAGAATGCTTGTTTTACGAAGTTTCCGTCTGTCACATGTTCATTGTCCCTGACCTCATTTTAAAGGTTCAGTGACTGCTTAAAAAAACATAGGATTTTCTCCATGTGAAATACTCACTTATGAGTATAAGAATGACTATATGTAGTATATGATATCCTTAAAAGGTCTACATGTCCGTCTGATAGGGTTCACTGACCTGGACCTCATTGCATGGATCAGTGATCAAGGTTAAGTTATCATGGTCAAGCATGGTCAGATACTATAATCAATAGGTCAACTTTATTTGGTGTACGAAATGAATGTAAGGTGTACTTGTCCGACTGGCAGGTTTCATCTGACCTTGACCTTTTTCATGGTTCATTGATTGATGTAGAGGGTTTTTTTTGTGGTTTGGTCCGTGTTTTACAAGTTTTACAAGCAAATGGGCCATTATATTTGGTGTATAGAATGATTGTAAGGCCTTTCTGGTGTGTTTCATTTTACCTTGAACTTATTTTCATGGATCATTGATAACCTTGAGGGTATATGATACTTGTAGTAAAACCTTCATATTACAGGCGTAATACCACCAATTCGTAGTGCGTCACATCCGGTTTCATATGAAATAGGGTCGAAAGAAAATATTCCCTTAAATTTGACAGTTGTGGGAAGTTAACCCTGGAGTTCATTACAGAAAAAAAAACTGTGTCATAAACATGTATCTTGGGTGTTTCAAAGCATTCTTTTTTTTTATTAGGTGTTTCTTTAAAATATTTTTAGAAAACTCAGTGCTGACATGAGATTACAAAACTAATTAGGGATGAAATTTGATTGGTTTACTTCCAGTAATGGTTATTATCTTATGTGCAATGAAATGTTATGTGAAATTATCACTGTAGTAAGTATTTTTTATTTGAAACAAAGATAAATTCTGCAGATCTTTTTTGAAAATGCCAATTTAACAAAGACAAATATTAATTGAAAAAAACAATGGTGGTTTCACTCCTTCAAACTTTCAATATAAATTCAATCATAAGTAAAAGGCAGGCGAAACATTTCAGCGTGCGCACTCTTGTTAATTTTTAGGAGGGGCTTCTGCTCTATGGTCGGGTTGTTGTCTTTTTGACACATTCCATATTTCCATTCTCAATTTTATTGTGACTTCCCTTATATTAATTCTAGTGACAGGGATATCTCATTCATTTTTGGTGAGTTCTCTCCGAGACTAATATACATGACATTGTCAAACTAGTCGTAGGTTCTCTTTAATTTATGCTGTGATAAAATTGAAAAGTGGTAAGGTCAAATTCTCGTGATATTGCTTCACAATAAGGCCAAAGATTTTAAGATGCAAAGTTTTTTCCAAAACGTGTAAAATTTGTAATGCCGTTTAATATTTTGCCAGTTTACCTATTAGATTTATTATACGACCGCAAAAAAGTTTTTGCGTTCGTATAATGGTATCATGTCGTCGTCGTCCGAAGACACATTTAGTTTCCGGACAATAACTTTAGATTAAGTGAATGGATCTCTATTAAATTTTACCAGAAGGTTCAATACCACAAAAGGAAGGTTGGGATTGATTTTGGGGGTGATGGTACCAACAGTTTAGGAATTAGGGGCCAAAAACAAGCATTTTTGTAGTTTCAGGTCAATAACTTGTGTGTTAGTGCATGGATCTCTCTGAAATTGTACCACAAGGTTCCATATCACAAAGGGAAGGTTTGCATTGAGTTCGGGGGTAATTGCCCCAAACGTTCAGGAATGAGGGCCAAAAACAAGCACTCTTCTAGTTTCCAGACAATAACTTGTGTTTAAGTGTATGGATCTCTCTGAATTTGTAATACAAGGTTTCATACCTCAAGGGAAGGCTGGGATTGAGTTTGGGGGTAATTACTCCAAGGGTTGGGCGGGGAATTTTTTTCATATTTTTTGGGGTTTTTTTTTCTAAAATGTTTCCATTTTTCCATTGATTATTTCTGATTTATATATAAAAGCAACAAATACTGATATGGCAGGAGATACACACCAAACAGGGTGTGTAAATTATTATATATATAACAGATTAACAGTATTGCGCAATAACAAGAAATCTTCAATTGCACAGTATTGCGCAATAGCAAGAAATCTTCAATTGCGCAGTATTGCACAATAGCAAGAAATTTTCAATTGCACATTATTGCGCAATAGCAAGAAATCTTAATTGCACAGTAATGCACAATTACAAGAAATCGTCAATTGCACAGTATTGCACAATAGCACATTATCGGGCAATAGCACAGTATTGCGTAATATCACAGGATTGCACAATAGCACAGTATTGTGCAATAGCAAGAAATCTTCTATAGCGCAGTATTGCGCAATAGCAAGAAATCTTTAATTGCACAGTACTGCGCAATAGCACAGTATTTGGCAATAGCACAGTATTGCGCAATATCACAGTATTTTGGGGGGTTCTAACCTTGTATTACTATTTTGGATATTGGGCCCTGTTTTCACATTAGTCCATATTAAGGTTTGAAGTGTCCAAAATTAAACTTTGTTTGATTTCAAATAAAATGAAAATTTTGGTGTTTTTTTATGTGCTGAATATAACCATGTTGTTAGATTTTGGATATCAGACCATACTTGGTAAATTAAATTTCCATTTCAAATTTTTAAGATCTTTTCCACATTTATTTTGTGTCAGAAACCTATCTTATGTCAAAAATTTGATCACAATCCAAATTCAGACAGTATCAAGCTTGAATATTGTGTGCAAACTTGCCCCAACTGTTCAGGGTTCGATCTCTGCGGTCGTATCAGGCTGCGATCGGCGAAGCATTTTATTGTAATTTGTTCTCGACCTGGATATGGTTGATTATTGCTTTTTTGACGCACAATGGCCGTATTTCTATACCCCTAGTCAATCCCGTAGGTTGTCCTGAATATGCCTGAAATACAATGAAAGACGGTACATATTTTGTGTAGATTCGACAGTTCTTGAAACTTGATTGCAAGATTACCAAAAAAAAGTCATATTCATAAAAAAAGATGTTTGAGGATGTTTTCTGAGTTTGAGAACTTAGTCATTTTTCATAGACATTTATATTTCCATATTTTTTTATGTGATGTACAACCTAGCCATTTAAGTCTTTGAATGCATTTTTCCAAAAATAAAAATTGCGAGCAATTGACAGACATGCGTACAAAATTTTAGAAATGAGACAAAACAACAGGGACAACAAACTTACTTAAGCAATTGGCACAAAACAGAGGACAAGTATCAAATAAGGTAACAGAAAGCATCTTAAACCGGCACCAGATAACTACTAATATGTAAAAGCAACAATGGCAACCGAGGAAATAACAATTATAATATCGAACAAAGAAGGAAACTTGTCCTTAGATCAAGAACCATTTTGAAGTAGAATCATTTTATCTGAGATATGGTGCTCTCCAGACGACAAAATTCCTTCAGATGTTTGTGTCTGAAAAGTCTGAATTTGGGTCGGCGAGATTTTGACCCTATTTAACATACCCATTATTTCCAGTAATAGTTCAAATTTTCTACCGTTTACCAGGCTACTTTGCGGCTACAGAACTTCCTATTGGATTTACGATTAAGTTGTTATCGTCCACAATACGCATGAAAAAAGAAATGTAGAAAATTTCGGGAACACTAAGCAATATAGTTTTAATGGACATGCATGTAATTTGAGTATCCAGAAAAATGGAATAAAGATCTAGTTCTCACTATTTGGTTGAAACCAAAATCAACATGAAGCAGAATTCTAGTTCACTAGAATATTTTTAATAATTAAGAAATGAATGCTTCTTTGATATTTTATCAGGGTGCAAAAGCGTTGACCGAAGCACAATTTGTATGGCGCGTCATACAAAAAATGTACGCACGATCAATGCTTTTAAAACTCTATAAAATAATTACAGAAAGTAGCATGCAATTCTTATAATTACATTTATATGTAACTTTTCGTTAGTTTTTCTATGCAGTCGTGACGTCATGGGAAGCACGTGCATATGAACAGTATGCATACGGATTGCCGATGAGACAACTATATAATTTTTAAAGAACAAAGGACAAACAGATGTTAATGATTAAAGGTCACTGTACTTAGATAAGACAGCAATCAAACAATACAAAATAAGAAAAGCATCGAGACATCTCAACATACGGTCCCTAACAATTGACAACTGTCCAAACCGTATGTATAGAGATCTAAATAACATAGTTACTGTCCCCATTAATGGACAACTGTCCAAACCGTATGTATAGAGATCTAAATAACATAGTTACTGTCCTCATTAATGGACAACTGTCCAATCCATATGTAGAGTTCTAAATAACATACGGTCCCCAACAATGGACAACTGTCCAAACCGTATGTAGGGTTCTAAATAACATACGGTCCCCAACAATGGACAACTGTCCAAACCGTATGTAGAGTTCTAAATAACATACGGTCCCCAACAATGGACAACTGTCCAAACCGTATGTAGGGTTCTAAATAAAATACGGTCAACGTATGTAGAGATCTTAATAACATACGATCTCCAACAATGGACAACTGTCCATACCGTAGGTAGAGATCTATATCGACATACAGTCTCCAACAATGGACAACTGTGTCCCTACCGTAGGTTAAGATCTAAATCGACATACAGTCTCCAACAATGGACAACTGTCTATACCGGAGGTAGAGTTCTAAATAATATACGGTCCATAACAATGGACAACTGTCCAAACCGTATGTAGAGACCTAAATAAGATAGTCCCCAACAATGGACAACTGTCCATACCGTAGGTAGAGATCGAAATCGACATACGGTATCGGGAAAAACTGTCCATACAGTATCAAGAGATCTCAATCGATCCGAGTCTTGACAAGTGGTGCTATTTCATTCCATGCTCCTTTATTTACATACAAGTTTCACTATACTATATAACAGAGATATAAGAATGTTCATCTGGTTCCAGTGCGTCATACAAGTGATTAGAAACTGTTGATATTTCTGACTGGTAGTCGCATTGAATTTTCCTGAAAAGTAAAAAAAAAAAAAAATACATAAACTTTAAAACTTATTACAACGAGCGTGGCCAATCATGAGTCTGTTGTTATGCGTCATAATTCATAATTGCCTTTACAAATGACATAAGCAGTTTTAAAAAATGTCTCTCTGCATATACATCTGATTTAACAACTTGGAAAAGGGAATTATACTATATGAAATAAAATACATGAAAAGTGGTAAAAAAAATTGTATATTTACCAGACTGCATAAAAAGGACAAAACATCTTAATTGGACCATGGAAGTATTATATTGACATGCCCTCTTTGATCGCCGCATAAAATTATGATATGTTTTTCACGATTTATATGGTTTTTGTCGAGCCTGCGAATTTTGTCGCAGAAAGGTCGACATAGGGAGTGTGATCCCGCCACGGTGTTAGCTAATTTCTTAAAAGCTTTGTATTTTAGAAGGTGGAAGACCTGGATGCTTCATACTTTGTATATAGATGCCTTATGTTACGAAGTTTCCGTCTGTCACATGTCCATTGTCCATAAGTCTGTATCTTAGAAACTATAAGCAACAGGTCAACTATATTTAGTGTATTGAATGATTGTAAGGTGTACATGTATTTCTTGTTTGGTTTATATGACCTTGACCTCATTTTCTTGGATCATGTTAAGTTTGTGTGATAGTTGTAGTAAAGCTTTATATTTAGAACTATCAACATTATATCAATGATTAGTAAAGAAGGCGAGACATTTCAGCGTGTGCACGCTTGTGTTTGGATAAAATCGTTAAAAAAAATATTATAATCTGTATATTATCCGTTTTATGGAATTACGCCCCCATTCAAAAATCCTGAATCCGCCCCTGAACATCGTAATAAAAATTAATATGATAGATTATTTACCAATAGAATTTTTCATAATCTCAAAAAGGTTAGTTTTTGAAATTCATATTACATACCTCACAACTGGTTGTTCCCTTTCTAAATATTTACATACATAATCTAAAAAATATAAGAACTATAAGTCAAACGAAATATAAATGGCTTGTTAAAATATACAATTCTGCAAGTAACAAAAAATGTTGGAAAATTATTTAGTTTGATTATTAATTTGTACAAGTTACAAAAATATCGCAAAGTTCTTTCTTATTAGTGTTTTAATTATCATTTGAAAATTTACATCGCACAATACTTTTTATTCAGTCAGTTTATAGTGCAAAAAAAGGTGTTTTTACAGATTTTTGTACCTTTTTTGTTGATCTGTCTTTTCTTCCTCCGAAACAAATGTACCACACAAACTGCTAGTATAAAACTTAAAACTACAGATCCAACAATAGCAACAATCAGAATCCAAATTGAAATCGTTGTTGGGTCTTTAATTCTGTCTGTATAAAAGAAAGCAAGTATTTTACTACATTTTTGGAAAATAAATTCTCGATTATAAAAACTATAAAATATTTGTAGTATGTTAGTTGTTTTATAGAAGAATCCAATCAAATAGTTGTAAAAATGTACTATCAAACGTGATGCATTTTGTTGTATTTCAACAGTTTAAGCATATCTGGAAAAAAATAAGCAAGTTTCTAAATCCAACTCAAAAGCGGTTCATTTCATGTTTCGTTTTATATTAACCAATAAATATTAAAGAAATATGATGATATCTCTACAAGACGAAGCAGAGCTGTAACATAATTTATAAAAGTTTTAAAACAACAAAATAAGTGATAATTGGATCAGGATGCAGACTTGAAGATAAAAAAATTCATCAAACGTTATATGCCAGGCGCGCGTTTTGTCTACAAAAGACTAATCAATGACGCTCGAATCAAAAAAGTTAAAGCGGATACCGATAATGTAAATTACCTTGGGGGTCACTCAGCTGTTTCACACCTGACTTTTTGGACCCTTTCGAAATTGACCACTGGTCTAATTTCTCATTTCCCCCAAGTCATTAAATGTAATACATCTACATTTATTTCTCTCTCCACCGTCAATCTAACCCCCTTTTATCGTAGCCACCTGCTATGAGATGGAGCAACGCTTCATCCCCTTATAGGAACTCATCTGGTTCCGGTTGGTTGACGGAGTGTCCATGTCCATGGGGCTTGGTCCATCTATACCAAGTGTCGTCGACAGGGCCTGGAGCTAAATTTCCCTTTGCTGAGTACTTGACTCCCAAGCGCCAAATTATTTATATATTTTATTAATAAAAAATAGAAATTAAATAATCTTGTTGTCAGCAGCAAACTCATTGATATACTATTTGGTTATACTGGATTGTCTGTTTCAATCTTATAGGAATGTCCAAGTCTGAAGGTCACGTTTATTGTCAAGGTTGTCAACACTGCAGGAGTATGTTAAGAAATAAGTTACAAATACAGGGTATTAAAGAATACCAGAGAACACCTAAACAAGAGAGCTACAAATACAGGGTATAAAAGAATACCAGAGAACACCTAAACAAGAGAGCTACAAATACAGGGTATAAAAGAATCACCAAGATCACCTTTTAAAAAGAGGAGTTCTAACAAAGTCACAGTTAACTTAATCATGAGGAACACCTAAACAATAATCAACTAGCTAAACAAGGTACATGAATCATTATCGATAAACCACAGAAAATAGAATACAGACTTAACAATGAATAAAGTCATTACTTGCTGCATCCGTCGTATCGTCAATGTCATAGTTGCTACTGTTAAGTTATGGATTTCAGCCCTTCTGTCATATACCTAAGTCCCTGGAGTCATAGAATAAATAGAAGCTTATATTATGTATAAGTGTTGTTTATTGATGACACATCATAGTTTGCATGTGTGTAGCAAATGTTTGGTACTGACATGCATCTGGCTGCATGATCACTCCTTATTTGGTTATAAGGCAAAGGAGTGATACATACCCTTCTCAAATTTCCCCAGGATGCTAGGTAGTTGTTCATTTTGAGTTTTGCTGCTGACAGGGAAAGTCATACATTAGTTATCATAAAGTTACAAAATACCCACCCACCTCCCTTTAATCACCTTCAACTACTCACTGTATATGGGAGCAGTCTCAGCAAACCAGTGGTTTTCTTCAATTTCAAAACTCCCTTTCGAAATTGACCACTGGTCTAATTTCTCATTTCCCCCAAGTCATTAAATGTAATACATCTACATTTATTTCTCTCTCCACCGTCAATCTAACCCCCTTTTATCGTAGCCACCTGCTATGAGATGGAGCAACGCTTCATCCCCTTATAGGAACTCATCTGGTTCCGGTTGGTTGACGGAGTGTCCATGTCCATGGGGCTTGGTCCATCTATACCAAGTGTCGTCGACAGGGCCTGGAGCTAAATTTCCCTTTGCTGAGTACTTGACTCCCAAGCGCCAAATTATTTATATATTTTATTAATAAAAAATAGAAATTAAATAATCTTGTTGTCAGCAGCAAACTCATTGATATACTATTTGGTTATACTGGATTGTCTGTTTCAATCTTATAGGAATGTCCAAGTCTGAAGGTCACGTTTATTGTCAAGGTTGTCAACACTGCAGGAGTATGTTAAGAAATAAGTTACAAATACAGGGTATTAAAGAATACCAGAGAACACCTAAACAAGAGAGCTACAAATACAGGGTATAAAAGAATACCAGAGAACACCTAAACAAGAGAGCTACAAATACAGGGTATAAAAGAATCACCAAGATCACCTTTTAAAAAGAGGAGTTCTAACAAAGTCACAGTTAACTTAATCATGAGGAACACCTAAACAATAATCAACTAGCTAAACAAGGTACATGAATCATTATCGATAAACCACAGAAAATAGAATACAGACTTAACAATGAATAAAGTCATTACTTGCTGCATCCGTCGTATCGTCAATGTCATAGTTGCTACTGTTAAGTTATGGATTTCAGCCCTTCTGTCATATACCTAAGTCCCTGGAGTCATAGAATAAATGTAATGTTGGTTTTTTTTTTTTTTTCATTCGGACATTTTCAGGGTTAAAACTTCAGATACTAGTAACAACCATATTTGTTTTATTCATTGTAAAATACACGGTTGCAAATGTGTTTACATTGCTATACGACGTGTCTCGATATTTTGCACATCCAACAATCATGTATTTATTTTTGATGTTTTTGTTATGGTTTCTGTTAAATAATGTGTTATGTCGTATCGTTTGTTGTCCAAATAATTTTAAATTGCCTTTCAATACCATCATTGTCATATTCCCGAATATGACTGTTATACTGAATGTGAATTTGCATTGCTGTGCGGCGTGTCTCGGTGTTTTGTCCATCCAACAATAATGGATTTATTTTGATGTTTATTTATTTTGCATATCTATAAATACTTGAAACGGATTGGTTAATTAGAATTTTTTACCTTGGTTTACACTTCGATAAACCATGTTTCCGAAACTACTTTCGTACCATCTATTCATGCGCGATACACATGCATATGCAGGGAGTCCGGGATTTTCAGCAAATTGAGATTGAAAAACAAAAACATAACAGTTTTTTTTCTATTTTAATGAATATGTAACAAAAAAAAATATTGCATTAAAGCTCTGAAAATGCATAAAATTAAAATTCATGAAAAATTCCGCGAAATTTCATGAATGATTTAGCGCATTTACGTCATGGCAAAACACGACGTCATACAAATGAAAACTTTCAAGCGAAAGATTATTTCGTTACTTGTACGCTTCAAATTCGGATAATATCTCATTAAAGTGCAGTTTTTGAGGTAGGTGCTATTTCATTTTAGATTCTGTTGCATTTATCGAACATTTACGGATATTAGAAATTCAATATGGCGACTAACTCCTTAGTTACGACATGTGCATTTGATGGTAGTAGCCATCAAACAAAAAATCTTAACTAAAAATCGCGAATGTTTGACTGAAGAATTATAAGGATTAAACACATTTTTTCTAGAGGTTATTGGTGTGTAAACCGGGGCTCTTACTCACAAACTTAACATAAAAGTCCTTCGGACTTTTATTCAGATTGTGAGTTAATCGCCCCGGTTTACACATCAATAACCTCTAGAAAAAATGTGTTTAATCCTATAATAATGGATTTATTTTGATGTTTCTGTTATGGTTTCGGTTGTATAATCTATTATGACTTATCGTTTGTAGTCCAAATAATTATAAAATTGCCTTTCCATACCATCATTGGCATGTAAATTGTTTGGACGAATATTTTGAAAATAATTGTATAATGTTCGAGATTGCATGTTAGTTACGTAAGTGCGTCACTGTTTTTGATATCCTATGGTGTTTTTCTTTGATGGAATATGTTCGTTGTTGTTCTGTTGTTTGCATGGAGTGTCGACTAATATATTATTTGTTTGTGCGTTTCTCTGTTGTGAATGTTCTTCCGTGAGTTTGTGCTGTATTTCTGTCACGTAGTGTTTTAGCGATATTTTTTAACATTGTCATAAAGCGGGAGGTTTGGCATGCCATGAAACCAGGTTCAACCCACCATTTTTTCTTAAAATGTCCTGTACCAAGTCAGGAATATGGCAGTTGTTATCAAATAGTTCGTTTCTATGTGTGTTGGCGTTTGTTTTTGTTGCACTTCGGTGTTCCTGTTGTTCATTTGTTGTCGAGCCTTCGACTTTAGTCGAAAAAGCGAGACATAGCGATCCTACATTCCGTCGGCGTCGGCGTCGTCGTCGTCGTCGTCGTCGGCGGCGTCCACAAATATTCACTCTGTGGTTAAAGTTTTTGAAATTTTAATAACTTTCTTAAACTATCCTGGATTTCTACCAAACTTGGACAGAAGCTTGTTTATGATCATAAGATAGTATCCAGAAGTAAATTTTGTAAAAATAAAATTCCATTTTTTTCGTATTTTACTTATAAATGGACTTAGTTTTTCTGCCGGGAAATATTACATTCACTCTGTGGTTAAAGTTTTTAAAGTTTTAATAACTTTCTTAAACTATCCTGGGTTTCTACCAAACTTGGACAAAAGCTTGTTTATGATCATAAGATAGTATCCAGAAGTAAATTTTGTAAAAAAAAAAATCCATTTTTTCCTTATTTCACTTTTAAATGGACTTAGATTTTCTGCCAGGAAACAACACATTCACTCTGTGGTTAAAGTTTTTAAAATTTTAATAACTTTCTTATACTATTTTGGATTTGTACCAAACTTTTACAGAAGCTTGTTTATGATCAAAAGCTAGTATCTAGAAGGAAATTTTGTTAAAAAATAAATCCATTTTTTCCGTATTTAACTTTTAAATGGACTTAGATTTTTTGCTAGGAAACAACACATTCACTCTGTGGTTAGAGTTTTTAAAATTTTAATAACTTTCTTATACTATTTTGGATTTGTACCAAACTTGGACAGAAGCTTGTTTATGATCAAATGCTAGTATCTAGAAGGAAATTTTGTTTTCTTCCAGTTAACAATACATTCACTCGGCAGTTAAAGTTTTTTTTAACATTTATTAGATTCATAAACTATCCTGGATTTTTACCAAACTTGGACAGAAGCTTCTTACAATCAAAAGATAGTATCATGAGGAATATTTTTATTGATTTACTTCCTCATTTTTGTTGAGCCTGCGATTAACAGAAAAAGTAGGCGAGACACTGGGTTCCGCGGAACCCTTACAAATTTTTTTCCTCTTACAGTTGATGTGTTTCCCTCGGTTTTGGTTTGTAACCCGGATTTTATTTTCTCTCAATCGATTTATGACTTTTGAACACCGGTATACTACTATTGTTTTTATTTACCTCTGACTTTTATTGTGATATCCATGTTTCCCGTAATGGTTGTCATCGCAGGGACTAGAAGTTGTCTTTCTGCAAAAAGATATTACCAAAATGTAGAGTGTTAATTGTAATCCTCTTATACATATAACATTACTCTATTTTTTTTCACAAACACATATTACGTGAATATGTAAACTATTGAAATAAACAACCGCTTATATACACCATGGATCTTTAAAATTTTTAACCGTTGTATTCTGATTTCCCTTTCCTATCACTCTACAAACTTAGGTTTTATTTTATGATTCCTATGGTCAGAACTAAGAATGCAATGTTTTTCATTGCAATTTAAGGACCTCAGATTATGATGATGGCGGATTGGTGTTTAACGTCCAGTGGCAAATAGTTTATGCATATAAAGCTAAAAACATGTTAATGAGATATGAATATAAACACCACTTTTTACTAAACCGACACGTTGGAATTTTTAACATCCTAGTCCACAAGGTAACAGTCCGCATGAAGACTTATCACCCTATACTCAGACACTTTTTTTGACTTCGAGCAAATCAGTATTTTCTCTTACTCCTAAATACCCCGTACATGACGGAAAAATAGTAAATACAAATTTGCAAGCTTTCGGTTTGACCCGGTCGATGATCAAACCAACTACTTCTTGCAATTGAGGCGTGCACGTTACCACCAGGAGACCACTGTGATAGTCAAGTATCAGAGACAAGTTTAGATGATAAATGGACTTATTCGATTTGAATCCATCAGAAGTCGTAAAGTGACTCCTAGTTATCAACTTTTTGTTAATATACGGAATGTTAAGTTGCTGTCTCGTCAACATTCACCGCGCATTTTCTTTTAAAGCTATATTTTTTACAACAACATACCTACACATTTCTACACAACTTCTATTTTTTACAACAACATACCTACACATTTATACACAACCTCTAAGTATTTCTTAACATGCATGCATGGATCACCAAATATGTTTCTGTTGGCTGTTAAATGACATGACTGTTGACCTTCACACCTATCCTTAACTAGTCGGAGGGTACTGCCACCAAATACCGAACAGCTCTTGACAATCCTGAATATCCCATTTAAAAACAGACATTCCCGGTTGTTTCTATTTCGACCGAACAACGCTCGTACTATTGTGATCGCTTTATCATTAGTACAGCTAACAGTAGAGGTCTTGTCTTCACAAATTGTAATGGCTTCAAAAGAAACAACATAGACAAAAAAATAATAAGATTGAATAACATAAAAAATCAAAATCTGACAAGTTATGGATATTTTCAATGGCATAAAATTGATATCAGGTCAGTTGTTCAGTGTGAATTAAAGATGCTGGATAATCGTCAATGAGACAACAACCCAACGACACATAAGACATCTAAATGTTCATCTACGGTCTTCAAAATTAGACAACACTCTAGATAGTGTCTATTTGATATCAGTTGCATCGAGTCTAGAAAAGTAACGGGGACTATCAAAGTTCTGCCATCAAAACCAATTCCATAGATGACAAACACGTTCTTTGTCAAAGATACCTTTTGTCTTATTTGTTTTGCGCTTGCAATATTTTGTATTTATTGGCATTTCAAAAGGTAATCAGGTAATTGAGCGTACCTAAAAATATAAGTAGTTAAATTGGTTCGTACAGTCTTTTTCCCTATAAATACGCTTTTAAGTAGCATTATTCATATTCTTATGGTACTTATATCAATTCTCACGACACGATACCTAATTATGTGCCAGTCTTTGTAAGAATCAGGCTATTTTGAAAAAAAAAAAAAAAACATGGCTGAAAAAACCCACCAACCTAACCATCCTATTTTGAAGTGAGTTAGAAATGGTAGGTCGTTCGTTTCTGCGTGTCTGGTATTTTGAGAAAGCTCTAGATAAATTTTGGTTAGAATGATAGTTAATTACGGAGTAAGCTCCCCTTAATTGTTAATTTCTAGTGCATTTCAAACAAATTATATCTTAGGAAAAGGAAACGAATGGTATATTCGTGCACCATGATACATTTTAAACATAAATTAATGTCAACTTGAGTGGGTTATTGTTTGTCATGTTTTCACCACTGCCTGATTCTTAGGCAGATTGGCACTTAAGTTCATACTACACGTGTTTCTGTAATAATCTTCCTTACCATGTACATATGACTACCTTCTTCCTCACCATGTACATATGACACCTGGATTTTGCTGTTTTGAATTGTACAAAACTAAATACTGTAATTGTTTCACTTAAAAAAGGGAGACAAAATGTTTTGTCTCAAACTCAATTGACTTTATTTTCATTGTGGTATATTTCTTTCAGATAATCGGGGAAAAAAATTAAATTCTTTTAAATATACTTACCTTGGTTGGTTTGAGCTGATGTAAACGTAATAAATATGGAAGCAAACACTAAATATTTCTGAATATTTAAAAGCATATCCTTTATGTCAAGTAAAGTTTACAAGGGTATCATCTCTAAAATACAACAACATCCACTTTAGAATAGTTAAATTGTTTTCCTGACGACATCCGATAAGACGTAATATTTTGATGAGTATCCTGTGTAGAAACAGTAACGTGATTGATTGTGAGCCGTATGTACATCATTTTGGGGACTTCTATTAAAGCAATGAATACACTTCGATGCTGTTACTTCCGCAATGTATTATTGTATTATACTCCACGATACTGTTATTTCAGCAATAAATACCTCACGATTCTGTTACTTCCACTATGAATACGCTACGACGCTGTTACCTCAGCAATGAATAGGCTACGACGCTGTTACAAATGTTACCTCAGCAATGAATATGCTACGACGCTGTTACCCCAGCGATAAATACGTCACGACTCTGTTACTTCAGCAATGAATAACTCACCACGCTGTTACCTCAGCAATGAATACGTCACGACACTGTTACTTCAGCAATGAATACCTCACGACGCTGTTACTTCAGCAATGAATAACTCACGACCACGTTAAGTCAGCGATGAATACCTCACAACGCTGTTACTTTAGCAATGAATACCCCACGACGCTGTTACTTCAGCAATGAATACGTCACGACGTGTACACAGTTATTTCAACAATGAATATGCCACGACGCTGTCCCTTCATCAACGAATACCTGACGACGCTGTTACCTCAGCAATGAAGACGCTACGACGCTTTACTGCAGAAATGAATACCTCATGACGCTATTACTTCAGCTATGAATACCTCACGACCATGTTACGTCAGCGATGAATACGTCACAACGCTGTTACTTTAGAAATGAATACCTCACTTCCACACTATTGCTTCAGCAATGAATACGTCACGACTCTGTTACTGCAGATAATATGAATACCTCACGACTCTGTTAATTCAGATATGAATTCAGATATGAATACCTCACGACGCTGTTCCTTCAGCAATGAATGTGCCACGACGCTGTTACTTCGCGAAGAATACGCCACGACATTGTTACTTCTGCAATGAATACGCCACGACGCTGTTACTTCAGCAATGAATACGCCACGACACTGTTACTTTAGTAATGAATACGTAACCATGCTGTTTCTTCAGCAATGAATACTCCCCAACGCTGTTACATCGGCAATAAATACGCAACAACGCTGTTACTTAAGCAATGAATACGCCACTACACTGTTACTGTCACGAAGCTGTTACTTCAGCAGTGAATAAGTCACAATGATGTTACTTCAGCAATGAGCAAAATGTTACACTCATATGACTCTGTAAAGCCATATGACTACAAGTACTAAATGTATCAACATATATCCTCCTTTTCTCAGCAATGGTTATCCTTGATGTACAACTTTCACATTATCATAGATTTCAATGGTTTACAATATTTAGATGTGTTTTCTAACGTGGGACCAAATTCTCTTCGAATACAAATTAATCCAGTTTGGTGAGAGACGTCCTTCGATGTAAAATTTTACAAAATCATGGATTTTCCAATATTGTCTTCAACAGCAATATGTGGCTAACACATTTATATGTAATCGAAATATTTACAATTTTTGCTAATTGTGTAAGAATATTATTGAGAATCTTTAATAATTGAAAACTATAAAGGAATAAGAGGATGTGATAGGATTGCCAATGAGAAAACTTTCCACCAGAGACCAAATGACGTAGAAGTTATCAACTATAGGTCATCGCACGGCCTTCAACAATGAGCAAAACTTTTTTTATGCGGTATTGGTTTTGCTCATTGTTGAAGGCCGTGCGATGACCTATAGTTTATTGTAAATGAAAAATGTAAAACAATTCAAACGAGAAAACTATAACGGCCTGATTTATGTACATAACAATGAACGAAAAACAAATATGATATACAGCAACAAACGAAAAACACTTAATTACAGGCACCTGAATTGGGACGGGCACATAAAAATGTGGCGAGGTAAACACTTAGTTTCTAGGTTTTAACAACTTTCAGATTTTGACCATGCGAGTGAAACAGATACACGTGAAATTAGTCCTTCCTTTGAAATTGAAATTGTTCCCCAGTTTATCTCAGATATGGCGGTTATAGCTAAAACTTGGCAATAATATGTGACAAATAGATCCAGTACCTTTGATTATCTGTCACTTTGTTTTACCCATTATGTTTGACTTGTTTGTAACTGAGGGTAGCTATATCTTTTTGCAGAAGGAATTTCTAAGACAGGACAAATTAAGCTTCGACTGTCTGTGAGTTTTAAGGTTTGAAAATAATTCACTATGAAGAAAGATGATAATTATATGTATATGAATGAATGAATAAATAGTTTATTAGAGTGCAACCTGTATATATACAATATAATGTACATTGAGTATTAACATAATGATTCAGCCAGCCAAATAGGCTTATGATGCACTATTATGTTTTAACTTTAAATATAACAGATATAAGAAAATGAGGTCAAAATTATAACATTTAAAAATGTAGACATGCGTATTTTCTTTACTTTGATATTTACAATAGACAGATTAAACAGTTATAGATATTCACGTCTTATGTTGGAGCATTCTAAAATAAAGTTTGCTACAAGTTTGCTATTAGTATTAAAGAGTACTGTAATGGCTTCGTTTGGAGATAGTTCACTGTTTACTGGGTGAATAGATGGTAACTCTTGTAACAGTTTGTTCCGTGCATCAGTATAACGTTCACAATAGATGAGGAAATGTGTTTCGTCTTCAACCGAACCTGAATTACACAATTTACATAAACGTAGATTAAGTTAAATGTTTCTGTAACGACCTTGTTCAATTTCTAATGGAAAGGTTCCAGAGCGAATCCTTGCAATTGCCGAACGTTGCACCCTTGATAAATGTCTTTTTACATATGGTTCCGTTAAGAAGTCGGACTTAAAAGTTTTCTATGTTCTCAGTATTGGCACTGTACGCACTTCATTAATCCATCTATCTTTGAAGTCATTTACACATTTACTTTTGACTGTTTCTATTACGTAGTTTGTAGAAATGTTGTCGCCACTGTAGTTAATCAAATGCGTAAGATTACAAGTGTTTAAAATTGTCTTGATACGGTTAAACCAGGTGTTTTTGTAGCGTGTAAAGGTGTCAACATCCCAACGGAACACTTTACGGCAAAGTCTATTGTCTGGCATTTTCATGAGGCGACACCATAGGCGTATCGCATTACACTGTGTATGAATATATACAGGAAGCCATTCCATATACGCTAAGACAACAGGAATCTGAGCACATTTGCTAATGCCAAGGAATGTCCTTATTGCTCTGTATTGTAGTCTCTAAAGTGAGTCATAGCGCTTGATACCCCATATTCCAGACGCATAATCCATAACCGGGATGACCATGTTGTCATATATCTTTGTGTATATTTCTAAGTCCATATTTCCCATATGCAAGAATTTGGATGTTAACGACCCCAATGATCTGCTAGCTGCCGCTGACAGCTCATTAACAGAAACCTTAAAGTCAATGTTTTCGGATAATGTAAGGCCTAAATAACGGTACTTCCCCACGTAATCTAGTTCCTTTTGTCCGAGTCTAAACACAACATCTTATCTACTGGCAGATGCCTTAGGGAGCTACCATTTGATTTTTATGGGGGGGGGGGGAGGGGGGCTAGGATGAAAAATTTTGTCCTGCATTTTTTTTAGTTGTAATCTCGGTCCTGCCTTTTTATTTTTCACTCTATTCGGTCCTGACTTTTATTAGTTTATCCTGACTTTTTTTACATAATTTGTCATCCTGCCTTTTTTTATTTTTGCCAAGTTGCTCATCCTGCCTTTTTTTTACTCAAAACTCCTGTCCTGCCTTTTTTTAAAATTTCATCCTAGCCCCCCATAAAAATCAAATAAAAGCTCCCTTACGAACATGCATGGTTTTGTTTTTTCAATGTTCACATTAAGAAGATTTTTCTTAGTCCAATCATGTAGAACGTTGAGTTGAGACTGTAAGCCTTCACTTTGAGTCCAAAACGAGAACGACGTCATCCGCGTAGAATAAACAACTAATCATGTCGTTTCCAACAAGTACTCCTTGCGAAAGACCTTTGATAAGCAGCACTAAATCGTCAATGAATAACGCAAACAGCGTAGGTGCAAGATTGTCTCCTTGTCATACACCGGAATCTACCGAAAACCAGTCTGTGAACATCATTGGTGAAAGTCTAATGGCACCTTTACCACAGTATATGTATATTGCAAAGCACAGCCATTAAACAAAACATGTTTCACATGAAGTTTCCTTGGATTCATTTAAAAAAAAAAAATCGGGAGCGACAAAGATGCATGAAGATATGAGATGATGACTGCAATATATCCAAACTGGGGATGAAAATAACACCAAAAGCTGTCTAATGTCAACTTTGGATAGAATAGTTTAACAAATACATGTACACAAAATGTATTATCAAACAAAATCATGTCTCCCGATTGGGTTACTCATGCAGTTACATGTCCTGTGATGTAATATTTCCTATCATTTGAATTCGTAACCAATTCGAAAACCTATTAAGCAGAATTCAGAATTGAAAGTCATCACTAGAAGTTTGAAATTGACAATAGAAAAAAGCAATACGATTCCATGGGGAACTCAATGGAGAACTAGGGCTTCAGTATGTCATTCAGCATGAAGCATGGCAATTTCATAGACTCATTCCTTATACATAGTGTGTATTCGAGACTATTTTAAAGTTTACCGCTAAGGATTAAACAATAACTAGAATTAAGAGAAGGAAAACGTCAACGAGTCAGCAACCCAATGACACAAAACAAAAACCGCCTAGAGGTCAGCTTACGCTATTTTGATGAGTAGACATGTCTTGGATTGTTAAAAGCTTATCTACGATTGAAGAATTGTTGATTAGTTCTGATGAAATTATGTTTGAATATCTTAAAACCTTTGCCTTAGACTGAATTTCTTTTCATGGACACATTTTGTGCAGATATGAATGTTAGACTTACAATGTTTATATACGAATCAATGTACATGTACTAATGCATGAGTTTCCTTTGTTTAGATTTGAGCAACTACATAACGGCGTTAAGGGGTGTTTCATGTCCTACTCAGCAACAAAATGCTCTTAGTGTGACGAACAACTACATACAAATAGGGAATGGCAAATGTACATATATGTATATTGTAAACATTAACAATCGTATTTAATGTCGTAATATCTTTTGACTGCAGACTTCTTTTCATTTCACTTACGCCACCTGCATTTATTTGTAACAAAGACTGCTCATAATCTTCCAACTGTTTCGTTATAATTTTGAATATTTTTTTCTGCTATTTCAATTTATTTCAATACATGATCCTTAAAAAATACCTTTTATTTATTTTCAGAATTGCCCTAGACATGCATTGTGTATTGTCAACCTCATGTTCATTTTTTCTCTGAATGGTAGATCACAATATTTCATTTTATTTCGGGGGCTCCTATTTATATAAATGAAATATTAACATTATTTCTTAGAATAAGATACGGCAAACCAATCTGGGTGCCCAAAATGTTTTCCAAAACGAGATTCAAAGGGATTTTATTGTGTCACGATGTCTCAATTGAAGGAAAATAATACATTGATATCGTTGTATGTCTGTTTCTCAAAATTACAGTTTTGCTGAATTGTATAGATCACATGGGGAATTACTACAACATCTTATATATTGAAGTTATAACCCCAATGACCTCTGAGTATTGATCATGAAAACATTGCTATGATTGCCAGATGAGTAACTCGTGCTCTCTGGAACCTCTATCTATTTTTCTCATGAAATAAGGAATTTTGACTGTTTCTCTTATCTGTCTAGCTAGTTTATTTTCTATACTAAGGATGAATAATTGTGAAAACAAACAAACTTTTGCCAATAAAAAAGTTAAGGAATATAAAAACATTCAATAAAGAATTTCATTATAATTTTATGTAACAAAGTATACAAAAAAATATACAATCGAATAGCTTACATTAAAATTAGTTCATCTAAATGATTGCACAAGCACCTTAAAATTTTTGTCCTTTTTAAACGTCATGACAGCAACATTCTAAAGATTTTTCTTCAGAGCACCTCTTCTCATAAAGTCTTGTTTTGCAGCCGCATTCTCTATAGTCTGATGTTCTCTTCATATAAGAAGGAATTTCAAGCTTTTTGCCCAAAGTTCTGGGTTGGTTGTTTCTCCAAAGACTGTAAAACGACACAAGTTGGCTTCCTAAAACTCCGGTATTTACTGATCCACCAGTTGACGAACAAGTACACCTACATACTTTTGAATTAACTTCGCTGCTTAAAGTGTTTTCAGAGACTACTTTTCTAAGACAATAATTGTTAACTGTTTGTTTTGAAATTTCCGACTTCCGTCGATAGGTGTCAGCAGATTTAGGTCTGCGGTCTTTACTTTTGAGTTTTCCTTGGATTGTAAGATAGCCAAGGTCAGAACTTATTGATGAGATTGAATTCCTTGATTCCGGCCGTGACCTAAGTGGTTCTTCACTGCAAAAGTCCTCAACAGAAATTGTTGGCGTCAGATGAGATCCGTTTCCATAACTCTGACTGTGTAGCCTTGTGTCGTTGGTATGCTTTGTTGGTGCAGAGATAGCTATATGTCCTTTTCCCATGTTTAACTGCATTCGTTAAAATTAAATCTGAGTTGAAGATTGAATTTGAAGGGTTTATATATTAAATGACCGATCCCTCAAATGAGCTGTTTAACGTCATTGATTACTTCATCGTGATTGAAGGGTTTTTAAAGTTTGTTACAGGACAATAGACATATATCGCTACAATTACAGTAACTACTACATCATATTACAAAGTTAAATAAATACCGTCGTTTTATGAATGAACTTTTTAAAAGGACACCACTTTGATATAGTAAAGATAAATATAATATACAGATTACATGTACCAACTAATAACTTCCGATGCACCATGCATTTAACTATGAATTTTTAAATACACACGCTCCCGTTTGTTTCGGTCTAAATTTCTATTATTGTCGCAGGTAATTTATGTAAAAGGTGCGTATATGGCCGATTAAATTCTTATGGAATTTTACATTCACGTAGAATTGAGTGGTGGATGATCTGGCAGCGTCGAAACTGAGTCGGTGACTTCCAGTAAACTTTGTGTCATTAAAGCATAAACATATCATTGGACATTGTTTCGAGAAATCTATCTTCCTCGATTCTGACATCACTTAAGCAACTTTTCATCATATTTTACTTTTCATAAGCAACACCGGCGACTTACGCCTATAGTAGGACAGGAGATTCTTACCTTATCTAGGCCTCCTCCCTGTTTTGGTGGAGTTTCCTCACTGTTAAGTTCTCTGTCGACTGTTGTCTATCTTTTTAACTTTTTTCGATTAATTGTTTTTGATTGCTCTCCTGGTTTCTTCGTCAACACTGCCCCCTCCCCCTTCCAATACCACTCCCGTTTTTTGTAATGTGAAATTAATGAATTTCGAAGCTATTTTTAAAACGACCTTCCAATTTGCTCCCTTATTGAAATATTTTCAACTAATTTTTTCGCAGAAATATGTTATTTTCTATAGTTTAAGTGCAATTAGCTACAGAAACGTTCATATTATAAGTGTAACACTGCTGATCAACACCATTCATTCAATTTTTCCTTAACGCATCTCAAAACAATACCATAAAGGATCATTTATTCAGCAGCAACTCTTTGCATGTTCATCAAAGTTGTTCATCAATATTTATCTATTTTGAATGTCTATTTTGTTTGTATACCTTATAGAAGTAACGTATAATTAACAATTGGTTTACGTTCAGGCAATCTTAATCCAATGCGTCTAAATAAATATGTGTTATGATTAAGATATAAAGTAATATTATATAAGTAATTCAAATGTAATGTATTGACGTAAAAGAGAATTTAGCTTCGACATTCAATTGTCATTTAATGATGCAAACAAAAAGAAAAGTAAAGTAGGTTTATCATATTAGCAGTTTACATTTCTCTAGTCTGAGATACAGTTAATAGGTACTAAAGAAGTATTATCAGCACTATGCAATTTCATTGACGACTGTCAGTTTCATTATATAATAATATTCAAATGAGTAAATCTAGAAATAACATGCTTCATTATTCTAAATATGTAACGAGGGGGTGGCATGAATATACCGATATTTACAATGCAAAATTGAAAAATGTATTGATATCTTTGGTTCCATTGTCCTGTTTCACTCACAACCGGTCCAGAAATAATAAAAATAATTACAAGAATCTGAACTTCATATGAAAAGACGTATTCAACTTTTCTGAAGAGAAAACGCAATCCTCATTAGTGAGGGCCTGGATGGGGTTTACAGAATAGTTATGAGGAGGACAGATTAAAAATGACACTCCGTAAATTTTACGGACACCATCACGAATTTGTTAATCCATACGATGTGTCTTTGTCCAAACTAACTAAGGACATTTTTATCACGTGTTATATTGTGGTTTGTCATTACGTCGTCTGATCTTTTAATTACCGAACGTGACTTATTCCCGATTTTGACTGTTTTGCTGAGTGTGAAACCGCATTGCTATAAGACGTGTCACGGTACTTTTCTATCCCAAATTCATGTATTTAATTTTGATGTTATATTTGTTATTCTCGTCGGATTTTGTCAAATGTCTTAACGTCTTTTCTGTTATATTCGTGTGTTATGGTAAAGATAATTAATCACCCCCTTCATTTATTAGATTTTAGTTTGGTTCAACGAAATTTATACGACATATTTGGTTTACAGTTTGATTCAGAAGAAACACCGACATAGCTAGATAATACAATTAATTATCTAATTACTACCACAATTTGATATTAACAAGTATTGTAATTTTCATTGTTATTAATAAATGTAATGTCGGTATTACTAATCTAATCTTGAATCAATCCTAATCCTATCTTATTTTTGGGAAATATTTTTACAAATTCAAGTGTGACGTCACTTTGTGTGTTTTTTTAGAATTTCAAATGTGACGTCACTTTGTGCGTTGGGGCTTTGGCTAACTCGGCTGTGTATTTTTATGTGTTGGATTAAGTTGTTTTATGTAATGTATCCGTTTTTTTTCTGTAGTTTGTCTCCACTTCGATTTTATCATGTATATCTATTATATAGTCATTTTATAAAATTTACTGTTTGCAAAATTATAAATTATTCTAAATAATAAGGATGTTCTTGTCCCAGGCAGAACACCCTGGTCGTGTCAGGCTCAACTTTTTGGAAGTTTTGGTCCTCGGTGCTCTTCAGCTTTGTACTTGTTTTGGCTTTCAAACTTTTTTCATCTGAGCGTCACTGGTTGGTCTTGTGTGGACGAGACACACGTCTGGCGTATTGAATTTTAAGCCTAGTACCATTTGTTAGCTATTATTCGTGTGTTTCTTTGTGCTATATGTTCTCCCATTTATTTGTATTGTGGTCCTGTCATGTGATGTTGTCGTTTTGGTGTTGTGTTTGACGTTGCCATAAAAGCGGGAGGTTTGGCATGCCACAAAACCAGGTTCGACCCACCATTTTTTTCTTAAAATGTCTTGTACCAATTCAGGAAATTGGCCATTGTTATATTATAGTTCGTTTCTGTGTGTGTTACATTTTAATGTTGTGTTTTTGTTGTGTCGTTGTTCTCCTCTTATATTTGATGCGTTTCCCTCAGGTTTAGTTTGTAACCCGGATTTGTTTTTATCTCTATCGATTTATGAGTTTCGAACAGCGGTATACTACTGTTGCCTTTATTTCTCAAATATCCTTATTTTTATAAATATTCAAATATTTATGATCTCAATCTAATCCTACAAAAATATTACACTTAAAAATAACAAACAAGGTATTTTTAGAGCCTTCAAAACAAAGACTAGTTTGAATTTGTTTTAAAATATCAGTATTGTATAATCATAAAACGATGCACACAATTGTGGATAACCATTCCTACTTTTGAACTTCCTGAATATGGCTTGAATCGACTTTTAGTCAGCAAATTATTTGAAAGTAAATGTCCATTTCATGTTGTTTGAATTTATAACATCGAAGTAACTTAGACTCAGATCTAAATCAAGCTTAAAACCCTCTACCTCCGCCCCTCCCATAAAAATATATATCTATAAATGCCTATATTGTAACAGTTACAGTATAATATAACCTATGTACAATAAGGTACAATTTTAGTAGAAATTCTGAAAATTCAAATAAATTTTATACAAGAACTTTATCTAGTACTTATTAAGTAAAGTAAAGTCAATGCAAAAATTAAAGAAAACACAATAACCCCAGCCCAGCTCCCAAATTGAATAAAAAAAAAGGAAATTTAAAAGTCAACATATTGACCTTTAATGTAGACAACTGCCTGTATCATATGGAAAACTTTAAATCGCCCTCCCTAGTTTAAGGATCTTTTGATCATATCGTAGAGACTACCAAAGATTTGCTTTTATTATGGATTGCATCAACAGTGCATTTTTTATAAGGTTTTACATATTTTCATTTCCACAATGTAACACAAACATACTTTCTTCATATTATAACACAGCAGCACTGTATACGGAACTTAGTGTAAACGTTTTTACTTTTTAGTCGTCTCATTTGATTTTTTTGGCAACAACCTCATCGCAATTAAGAGCATATAATATTTTTTTGAAGTTTAACTTGAAATGTAAACGCTGGTAGGGCTGGTAAAGCTTAAGCAACTACACTTATTTTGATTAGTTTATTATGGAATTGTACCACATATTGACGTTACAATGAATACTTCACAAAATAATGTTAGCAAGTCCTTTTCATGTTTGAAGTAAAGACGAATCAAGTATCCATAACACACTGGCGATTCTAATTCGTACAAATGTTGATGAACAATATTTTTGTAAACAGACTATCACCATAAGTTGAAACTTCATCATGTCCACTGACAGAGGAAATTCATATACCGTGAGTGGGGCATTGTCTATAGGCGTTGCTTCTTTTCATGAAACGGAGCACTTCGATTTTTTGACCCAAAGTTCTCTGACTGTCTTTTTCCACAATCCAAGATATGATACTGTTTGGTTTCCGGAAAGTTTGCACTTTTTTTCACATGGTAGGTATGTACACTAGTCAAACGAAAAATCGTACATTGCTGTTTGAAAAACGATTTGATAAGATTTTTGTCAGAGATGAACCACTGTCAGCATGTTAAACTGAAATAACTTGGTAAATATCGGCAAACTTTAGCCTTCTGTCTTTACACTTTGATTCTCTTGAAATAGTCATAAAAAGAATTTGATTTCGCCGATGAAATATGATTTCTCGATTCAGGTCGTAATCCGAACTCAGTCAATAAACAGTGAGTGTTGGCGATATAGGTGTTGTCAATAACTCGTCTTTAGTTTCGTCTTTTTCATTTTTGTCATTTCTGAACGTAATACTGTTTCCAGATTGTCTCATTGGCAATCATATCACATCTCCTTATTTTTATATTACTCATGCAGTTACCGAAATGTAATATTTCCTATCTTTTGAATTCGTAACCAATTCGAAAACTTATTAAACAGAATTCAGAATGTCATCACAAAAAGTTTGAAATCAACAATAGACAAAACCAAGACGATTCCACGAGGCACTCAATGGCGAACTTTGGCTTCAGTATGTCATTCAGCATGAAGCATGAAAATTTCACGATTGATTACTCTTAAATAATTCATAATAGACTCATTCCTTATACATAGTGTGTATTCGAGATTATTTTAAAGTTTAGTCTTGAGGATAAAGGTATAACTAGAATTAAGAGGGATGTGGGTAAGAGTCAATGAGACATCAACCCAATGACACAAAACAAAAACCGTCTCGAGGTCAGCATACGCTATTTTTATAAGTAGACATGTCTTGGATTGTTAAAAGCTTATCTACGATTGAAGAATTGATTAGTTCTGGTGAAATTATTTTTGAATATCTTAAACCCTTTGTCATACACTGATACTCTTTTCTTGGACACATTTTGTATGGATATGAATGTAAGGCTAACAATGTATATAAACGACCTAATGTACTAATGAAAAGGTTTTCTTTGTTTAAATTTGAGCAACTACATAACGTCGTTTAGGGGTGATTAACTTCCCACACAGCAACAAAATGACTTAGTGTGACGAACATCTACATATAAATATTGTACTTAAATGTGAATTCTAAACATTAATGATCATATATAATGACGTAATATCTTTTGACTGAAGACTTCTTTTCAGTTCACTTCACCTGCATTCAACTCTAACACTGACTGCTCATAATCTTCCAACTTTTTCGTTATCATTTAAGTTTTTCTGTAATTTCAATTTATTTCAATACATGATCCTTATAAAATACCTTTTATTTATTTTCAAAAATGCCCTCGACTTGCACTATGTATTGTCAACTCATTTTCATTTTTCTCTGAATAGTAGTTCACATTGTATCATTTCATTTTAAGGGTTCCTATTTATATCAATGGAATATTAACATTATGTCTTAGAATCAGGTCCCACAAACCAATCAGGGTGCTCAAAATGTTTTCCAAAACAGGGTTCATAGGGGTTTCATGGCGTCACGAAGTATCAAGTGAAGGAAAATAATACATTGGTATCGTTGTATGACTGTTTCTCAAAATTAATGTGTCACTGAATTGTATAGATCACATGGGGATTTACTACAACATCTTATCTATAGAAGCCATGACCGCAATAACCTCTGAGTATTGATCATGAAAACATTGATATGATTGCCAGATGGGTAACTCGTGCTCATTGGAACTTCTTTTTACTTTTTCTTGTGAAATAATGAATTTTGACTGTTTCTCTTATTTGTCTAGCTTGTTGATTTTCCAAACTAAGGTTGAATAATGATGAAAAAAAAAGTTCCAGGAATAACAGGAAAAACATTCAATAAAAAATTTCATTATAATTTTATATGTAACAAAGTATACAATCATAACGATATACATTTCATATTGCTTACATTAAAAGTTGTCCTTCTGAATTATTGCACAAGCACCTTAATATTTTGTCCTTTTTAAACTTCATGACAGCAACATTCTAAAGATTTTTCTTCAGAGCATTTTTTCTCATATAGTCTAGTTTTGCAGCCGCATTCTCTATAGTCTGATTTTCTCTTCATATAAGAAGGGATTTCAAGCTTTTTGCCCAAAGTTCTGGGTTGGTTGTTTCTCCAAAGACTGTAAAACGACACAAGTTGGCTTCCTGAAACTCCGGTATTTACTGAACCACCAGTTGACAAACAAGTACACCTACATTCTTTTGAATTAACTTCGCTGCTTAAAATGTTTTCAGATGCTGCTTTTCTAAGACAAGAAATGTTAACTGTTTGTTTTGAAATTTCCGACTTCCGTCGATAGGTGTCAGCGGATTTAGGTCTACGGTCTTTACTTTTGAGTTTTTCTTGGATTGTAAGATAGCCAAGGTCAGAACTTATTGATGAGATTGAATTCCTTGATTCCGGCCGTGCCCTAAATGGTTCTTCACTGCAAAAGTCTTCAACAGAAATTGTTGGCGTCAGTTGAGATCCGTTTCCAAAACTCGGACTGTTCAGCCTTGTATCACTGACATGTTTTGTTGGTGCAGAGATAGCTATGTGTCCTTTTCCCATGTTTAACTGCATTCGTTAAAATTAAATCTGAGTTAAAGATTGAATTTGAAGGGTTTATATATTAAATGAAAGATCCATTAAATGAACTGTTTAACGTCATTGATTACTTCATCGTGATTGAAGGGTTTTGAAAATTTGTTACAGGACAAAAGACATATATCGCTACAATAGTAACTACTACAACATATAACAATGTTAGATAAATACCGTCGTTTTATGAATGAAATTTTTAAAAGGACGCCACTTTGATATAATAAAGATAAATATAATATACAGATTACCAACTAATAACTTCCGATGCACCATCCATTTAACTATGAATTTTTAAATACAAACGCTCCCGTTTGTTTTGGTCTACGTTTCTATTATTGTCGCAGGTAATTTATGTAAAAGGTGCGTATATGATATGGCCGATTAAATTCTTATGAAATTTCACATTCACGTAGAATCGGGTGGTGGATGATCTGGCAGTCGTCGAAACTAAGTCGGTGACTTCCAGTAAATTGTGTGTCATTAAAGCAGAAACATTGGACATTGTTTTGAGAAATCTATTTTCCTCGATTCTGACATCACTTAAGCGACTTTTCATCATATTTTACTTTTCATAAGCAACACTGACGACTTACGCCTCTAGTAGGACAGGAGATGCTTACCTTTTCTAGGCCCCCTCCCTACCAATTTGCTTCCTTATTGGATTATTTTTAACTTATTTTTTCGCAGAAATATGTTATTTTCTATAGTTTAGGTGCAATTAGCTACAGAAACGTTTATATTATAAGTGTAACACTGCTGATCAACAACATTCATTCAATTTTTCCTTAACGCATCTGAAAAAAATACCATTAAGGACCATTAATTCAGCAGCAACTCTTTGCAAGTTCATCAATATTTATCTATTTTGAATGTTTATTTTGTTTGTATACCTTACAGAAGTAACGTATAATTAACAACTGGTTTACGTTCAGGCAATCTTAATCAAATGCGTCTAAATAAATATGTGTTATGATTAATATATAAGGTAATATTATATAAGTAATTCAAATATAATGTATTGACGTAAAAGAGAATTTAGCTCCGACATTCTATTGTCATTTAATGTCGCAAAGAACAACAAAAGTAAAGTAGGTTTATCATATTAGCAGTTTACATTTCTCTAGTCTGAGATACAGTTAAAACGCACTAAAGAAGTATTATCAGCACTATGCAATTTCATTGACGACTGTCAGTTTTATTATATAATAATATTCAAATGAGTAAATCTAGAAATAACATGCTTCATTATTCTAAATAAGTAACGAGGGGGTGGCATGAATACATGTATACCGATATTTACAATGTCAAAATTGAAAAATGTATTGATATCTTTGGTTCCATTGTCCTGTTTCACTGACAACCGGTGCATAAAAAATATAAATAATTACAAGAATCTGAACTTGATATGAAAAGACGTATTCAACTTTTCTGAAGAGAAAACGCAATCCCCATTAGTGAGGGCCTGGATGGGGTTTACAGAATAGAGAAAAAATAAGGCAAACAATACAGAATAGAGAATAATGGGGTGCTAAGATATAAAGAATAGAAAATAATGGATAAAAAATATAAAGAATACAGAAAGATGACAAAAAAATTAAAGAATACAGAAATGAAGGACCCCCATCCATACCCTCATTAGTGTAAGACATTTGAACAATAAAGATACATTTAAATTGTAAAATATCAATGTTTAATGTTATTATTCACAAAAATAAACTACGAATAAGTCGTTTGCATGCACTCTTCTTCGACCCTTTAAAATCAACCGAACCAAAGAACTTTATCGCATGTGTTTTGCACATTGTTGAAGTCCTTACGGCCCAAAATTTGGTCTCATTTCTCTACTATCCTTATTTTTATAAAGATTCAAATATTTATGATCTCAATCTAATCATAAAAAAATATTACACTTAAAAATAACAAACAAGGTATTTTTAGAGGCTTCAAAACAAAGACTAGTTTGAATTTGTTTTAAAATATAAGTATTGTATAATCGTAAAACGATGCACACAATTGTGGATAACCATTCCTACTTTCGAACTTCAATTTTGACCCTTCCTGAATATGGCTTGAATCGACATTTAGTCAGCAAATTATTTGAAAGTAAATGTCCATTTCATGTTGTTTGAGTTTATAACATTGAAGTAACTAAGACTCAGATCTTAATCAAACTTAAAACCCTCTACCTCAGCCCTCTCCCATAAACAAACTATATCTATAAATGCCTATATTGCAACAGTTACAGTAAATATAACCTATGTACAATAAGGTACAATTTTTGTAGAAATACTGAAATTTTAAATAAAGTTTATATAAGAACTTTATTTAGTACTTATTTAGTAAAGTAAAGTCAATGCAAAACCAAAGGACACACACTAACCCTAGCCTGGCTCCCAAATTGAATAAAAGAAAAGGAAATTTAAAAGTCAACATACTGACTTTTATAGTAGACAACTGCCTGTTCATATGGAAAACTTTAAATCGCCCTCCCTAGTTTAAGGACCTTTTGATCATATCATAGAGACTACCAAAGATTTGCTTTTATTATGGATTGCATCAACAGTGCATTTTTTTATAAGGTTTTACATATTTTCATTTCCACAATGTAACACAAACATACATTACTCATATTATAACACAGCAGCACTGTCCACGGAACTTAGTGTAGACGTTTTTACTTTTTAGTCGTCTCATTTGATTTTTTTGACAACTAGTCAAACCTCATCGCAATTCAGAGCATATAATATTTTTTTGAAGTTTAACTTGAAATGTAAACGCTGGTAAAGCTTAAGCAACTACACTTATTTTGATTAGTTTATTATGGAATTGTACCACATATTGACGTTACAATGAATACTTCACATAATAATGTTAGCAAGTCCTTTTCATGTTTGAAGTAAAGACGAATCAAGTATCCATAACACACTGGCGATTCTAATTCGTACAAATGTTGATGAACAATATTTTTGTAAACAGACTATCACCATAAGTTGAAACTTCACCATGTCCACCGACACAGGAAATTCATATACCGTGAGTGGGACATTGTCTATAGGCGTTGCTTCTTTTCATGAAGCGGGACACTTCGATTTTTTTACCCAAAGTTCTCTGACTGTCTTTTTCCACAATCCAAGATATGATACTGTTTGGTTTCCGGAAAGTTTACACTTTTTTGCACATGGTAGGTATGTACACTGGTCAAACGAAGAATCGTACATTGCTGTTTGAAAGACGATTTGATAAGATTTTTGTCAGAGATGAACCACTGTTAGCATGCTAAACTGAAATAACTTGGTAAATATCGGCAAACTTTAGCCTTCTGTCTTTACACTTTGATTCTCTTGAAATCATCATAACAAAGAATTTGATTTCGTCGATGAAATATAATTTATCGATTCAGGTCGTAATCCGAACTCAGACAATAAACAGTGAGTGTTATATTGGTGTTGTCAATAACTAGTCTTTAGTTTCGTCTGTTTCCAGATGTCATTTCTGAACGTAATACTGTTTCCAGATGTCATTGTTGTCTCGAATACTTTCCCATTATGACGTTTAAATACCTTGGCTTTTTTAAAGCTGTGTCAGTTTGTTTTCTGAAATGATAGGCACGTGGTTTAAAGATTCACAAAATGTAGCAAACCATGAACTGGTTTGCGTTACAAGTTAGACATATTCACCCATCTTGTCATAAGATTAAACATGAGTCATCAAGTGACATAAAGTCAGTATATCTCACAGTGTCTATAACAAATCTTTTGACATGCATAATATTTTGCATGATATTGAATGTACTAAAGGAACTGATTCTGTGTCTTTGAAAAACTATAAACAACGTCAGTGATTTAAAACAATCGGTAAACTTTTCTATTGTATCTTCAATATAAAGACTGTTAACTGGTTTATTCCCGATAATATGCTAAACTTTAAAATGGTTATAAATGGATGTTGTTTGTTGTTTCTATGATACATGGTCATATGTTATTCTGCACTTCGGTGCATCATATAAAACATCTTTAATCATTTTCATTTCCAGGCCAGTAGTTGTCCGTACAGTAGGCCATGGTACTCTCATGATATTTCATTAGTCTTGGAAACCTTTCCCTTGTTTTGGTACGGTCTAAATTGTATTATCAAAAGAAATCATGTCTCCCCTTGCTTGTAGTGTATGCCCTTATATTTTACAGTTATGGGTTGTTTGCTTGTGAGAGAGCTGTCTACTAATAGTTTTTATTCACGTCATTTGAACTTTGGTGGATAATTGTCTCATTGGCAATCATATCACATCTCCTTATTTTTATATTACTCATGCAGTTGCCGAAATGTAATATTTCCTATGTTTTGAATTCGTAACCAATTCGAAAACTTATTAAGCAGAATTCAGAAATTAATGTCATCACAAAAAGTTTGAAATTAACAATAGAAAAAAACCCGACGATTCCATGAGGCACTCAATGGCGAACTTTAGCTTCTGTATGTCATTCAGCATGAAAATTTCACGATTGATTACTCTTAAATAATTTATAATAGACTCATTCCTTATACATAGTGTGTATTCGAGATTCTTTTAAAGTTTAGTCTTAAGGATAAAAGTATAATTAGAATTAAGAGGGATGTGGGTAAAGGTCAATGAGACAGAAACCCAATGACACAAAACAAAAACCGTCTAGAGGTCAACATACGCTATTTTGATGAGTAGACATGTCTTGGATTGTTAAAAGCGATTGAAGAATTGATTAGTTCTGGTGAAATTATTTTTGAATACTTAAAACCTTTGTCATACACTGATATTCTTTTCATGGACAAATTTTGTATAGATATGAATGTAAGGCTAACAATGTTTATAAACGACCCAATGTACTAATGAAAATGTTTTCTTTGTTTAGATTTGAGCAACTACATAACTTCGTTTAGGGGTGATTAACTTCCTACACAGCAACAAAATGACTAAGTGTGACGAACAAATACATATAAATATCATACTTAAATGCGAATTCTAAACATTAATGATCATATAATGCCGTAATATCTTTTGACTGAAGACTTCTTACCAAATCACTTCACCTGCATTCAACTTTAACACAGACTACTCATAATCTTCCAACTGTTTCGTTAT